GTAGACATTGAAGAAACATATAGGTAACAGATTATTGACTAGATTAAAACAAGGGACTAAAAGGAATAGAGACATCAATATTCAAAGGCATGACAGAAGAAAACTTGAGTTAAAGAAACATGTAAGTGCAGATTGAAAGAGTTCACTGCAAAATTAAAGGGGACACTTTTGCAAAAATATGCTTGCTAAGTTCGTTTCATTATAGAGATGAAAACGAAACTACAATAATATAAAACAAGTATATAAGCAGAAATTTAATTGTTTTCTAAAAAAACACAACAGGTTACCTACAAACAGATAAAAATGAAGGTGACTTTACACACTTCTGTTGTAATGCTAAACTCCAGAAGAAAATAGAAAAATGTCTACAGAATCTTGTGGTGGAAAGATGTTTTAACCTTTTGTGTTAAGGCAACAAAAAACATTCTCAGACATTCAAGGGTGCAAACAATATTTAAAACATTTCTTCCTAAAAAAATTCCTTGAAACATATCAAATAGCTAACAGGTATATCAAAAAAGTGGAAAACAAAGTTAAAATTAGATAAATATAAATAACTATGGAAATATACATATGTATTATGCCAATGCCAAAAAACACACTTGAAGCTACTGAATATCACACTATACTTATGATATGTGCATTTTATAATTATTAAAATACACATGTGTAACTTTGTGATATGAATACGTATTTCATTATAACATTAAACATTCTCTGGTTCCATGCATACCTGAGACAAGTCTTGTGGAGTAGGTGGTCAATAATTTTCCCTTGGCTTCACCCCAATACTGATTTGTTTGCTTCTGTTTTGAATATTCAGAATGCTTTGAACCACACACTGTTGATGTCATATTTTCATAGACTCTAGGACCAGATTTTCATTACCTAGAGTTTCCAGGGATCTTTTCTTTGAGGTAGGGCTAGAGTGGCAGGATGTAGAAGATATTTTTAAGTGCTTATTTTGTTTTTAATTTTTAATTTTTGTGGAGGCATATAGTGGTGGGTGTATAAATATTTATGGGATATATGAGATACTTTGATACAGTCATACAATATGTAATAATCACATCAGGGTAAATAGGGTACTCATCACCTCAAGCATTTATCGTTTGTAACACAAAGGATACTATTTGTGTTATACTCTTAGTTATTTTTAAATGTACAATTAAACTATTGACTATAGTCATCCTGTTGTGCTATCAAAAACTATAAAAGTGCTTACTTTGATTAAATTTATTAAGACCACATCATATCCCACATTAATAATCTTTCTTAGCTAAGTTGACTGCTTTGATAAGGAAAGAAATTCACACACAAACTAAAATGGCAAATATGCATAGAGGGTACAAAAAGAAGAAAGGTTTGACCCCAGAATTTCTCCATAAATGGAATTTATGGACAGTCTTATAGGAAGTAGAATGCAGGAGAATGATGAAATTTTCTTGAAGGTGCATTCCATAGAAAGCATACTGTTTTTATAGAATTTACCTTTTTATATCTATATACTAAAAATTGTTCATGCTTTTATTTATATTAATACTTCACATAGATTTTTAATGATGGTACACTATTGTTATGATTATGATTATTTTCATTTGGTTTGGTTGTGTCGGAGATATGATGATACCGAAGGTGGTTTGGACAGAGCTAAAGACATGTCACATCTTGACAATGGCTGGAGGAAGGCCTTCGTAGTCAGTCAAGGTATAAATACTAGCAATCTGTTTTCACCCTACTCCAAAGCACTTCTTAAATCACATTAGAACTCTAAAATGTAATGAGAACCGGGTCACTGTTTTGCAATCTCTAAATGTCAAATTAAAATATGAATCAGGGATTGTGTAGTCAAGTCAATGGGAACTCTGGCTTGAGTAACATATTTTCCCTTTGAGGCAGTGTACGATTACAGAAGGTGTTAGCACAGAAAATTTAGCTTTGAGTGGGACATGCAATTAATTCAAATTAAAGAATCTGAACTGAGTGTTCTTTTTATTTTCAAGACATGTCACTAAGCAGTGAAAAGCCAAAAAGATAAAGCCAAAACTTGGAAATAACCCACATGTTTTTCAGTGAGTGAATGGTTAAACAAACTGTGGCATGCATACCGTGGAATGCTATTTAGCAATAAGGAGGAACAAACGATATAAGAAACAATTTGGATAGATCTCAAGGACATCATGCTAAGTGAAAAAAGCCAATATCAAGGCCACATACTCCATGATTTTATTTATAAGACATTATAGCGATGGAGAACAGATAAGTTGTCAGGGATCAAGTTCAAGGAGAGCTGGTCATGGTAGTAGTGGTGGTTGACCAAAAAGGAATAGCAAGAATGAATTTAGTGTGGTAATGGAGAGTTCTATGTCTTAATTGCTTCTGTTTTCAAGCTACTTAAAATGTATTAGGGCGGTAGACTTACATAAAACTCTCCAAAAAGATAATTCGGAAGCATAATAAAAAGTGATTTAGGCTGGGCGCGGTGGCTCATGCCTGTAATCCCAGCATCTTGGGAGGCCAAGGCGAGGCGGATTACCTGAAGTCAAGAGTTCAAGATCAGCCTGGCCAACATAGTGAAACCCCGTCTCTACTAAAAATGCAAAAAAGTAGCTGGCCGTGGTGATGGGCGCCTGTAATCCCAGCTATTCGGGAGGCTGAGGCAGGAGAATTGCTTTAACCTTGGAGGTGGAAGTTGCAGCGAGCTGAGATTGCACCATTGCACTCCAGCCTAGGCAACAAGAGTGAAACCCCGTCTCAAAAAACAAACAAACAAACAAACAAAAACAAAAACACAAAGTGATTTAGAAGAAGGAACGGTAATTCTAGGGCATATAGTTAACAGAAAACATTTCTGGTATTGTGGCCAGACCTTGGTAAATATGGGAAACCTTCCTATGAGAAGAGAATGCAGAGGTGATCAAAGTTGAACAAAGCCCTGATGGTGAAACAGGTGCCTTGTTATTTGGTTAATGAGTCTCAGAAAGGCCGTCACTTGAGCAAGACTTTGCCTCTCTGAAACTGATTATACCGTTTGAAAGAAATTCACTGAAGTTCAGAGTCAGAATTTACATTTGACATAAATTTGTGTTGAATGACATTAATGTTATTGTTTACCTTGTACTATTAAAAATAGCAATGGAATATTGAAGCTTGGGAAACTAGAGTAACCTGGTGAGTCTGTTTCAAGGTTGTGAGTCAAATTTCTTGGTTTGTATAAGTAAGAAAAATAAGGAGAAACATTGTCAATATATCTAAAAATTTGTATTACAAGTCTGTGGCCAAGTTCCCCAGCAGTAAAGCATTGCTAGACTCCATTCCTGGTTGGAAGTTATCTTGGTATTCCAGACAAAATAATGAAATGTATTATAATTAATCTGACTGCACCTAGCTTTAGTATTAGGACAGTTTCTGGACCTTAGGCATGATTCTCCTCCTGAAAGTAAGCTTTTTAAGGCTTCTAGAGTCATCAATTATTTAGCCTACATAAAAATGTATAATAAAATATGTATTCTTTTACGTTTATCTTCCTTTACTGAATGTTAAATTTGTGAGATTTAGACAAGTTGTAACATTATATATTACTATATTAAAAATTTAAAAGTATAAATAAATCACTCATGTTACCACCCTGACACAACTAATTTTATTTTTTATATTGCTTCAGTTTTCATTGTATACAAATATTTTATAAAGTCATATAATTGTTTTAATATTTATATATATTTGCAATCACATAGTTCTACCCGTTTCATTTTCTTCTCTTCACACACAACATTATATCATGGGTATTTTTCCATATTATCACATGGTTTTCATAGTGACCATTATTCCCCATCAATACATATACATTAAATTGATGAATGCTAGTTTTGAGAGAAGAATGGCTCCAGGGGCCAGCAGCTTGTGGATTTGCCAGCAGAGTATGGCAGTATTATGGAGCTGGCTCTGGATTTTCCAAGGATCATCTCTGTTAGAGAGCACAGAGGAAAGATATCGGCCTGCATCAGAACACTTGATCAGATTTACAAACTTGCTCAGAATCTTTTGTTGGCATCTTCTAATCCATTTTCTATGCAGCAGCCAAAGTGATCGTTACAAAAATATGGCGATCAGGTTTCTGTTAGGTAAAATATTTTGGTGGCTTCTCATTGCCTTTAAGATGGAGGAAGAAAATGCTTAATGTTTAGAGACTAACTAGCCTGGTAGTTTCTGCTTCTATCTTTAGCTTAATCTTTTATTGTCAGTTTCCTATCTGTCAGTTTTTCATGGAATGTTCAAACCCCTCAAAGAACAAAAAGCCTGTAAAGGGGGCATTACATGCTAAACAAAGAAGCCTCCCTATGATTATAAAATGATATTGATGCTGTAGAATTTATTTCTGCTTAAATAAGAAAGATTTTATACATGTATCCTATTATGGGTTCAAGATTCCATTTACCCAGATAGCCAGGGATAAGATTATAAGAGGAGATGGCTTCTCTGGAAGAATCTTTGGGGACTTTTTTGAATTTCTCATGTTGAAAATACCTAAAAAATAAAAATGTCTAGTACATCTTCAGGATAGCTAAGAAACTTTTATAAAGAAGCTACAGGCCCTCCTCCTAATCCTACACTCTGTCCATTGCCGTAGCAACCCATATAAATAAAATGACAATAGAGGTTTCCATATAGGACCTTAAAGGAATTTCACTGTTCCTTTGAAGCTTTAGACATTTCTATACTTCATGGTATGCCCTAAAAATTACAATTTAATTAGACTTAAATATCAGAGGCAACTTATTTATTTTTTTGCCCAATCTACCTCATTGTTTATAAGGACCTGTAGATGATCCCATGCAAAGATATCTCTAAACATAAATAACACTAACACAATTAACTTGGAAAACAGACTCCATTGTGCATCTCCCCCAGGGGGACAACATCATTCTTGGTTACTATTTTTTCTGAAGACCCTTATGGGCTTGTAAGCAACTTGTAACTGAAAAGTAAATGCATTGCATTTAGGAATATGCCTTCATTAAAGCTATGATTTCACTGTACATCCGTTGAGGGGCATCAAGGCCCCAGACAAAATCAAAGTGGTTCCAATCTGGCAATAGCTTAAAGTAATGAAGACTCTTGATTTGAGGGAGTATCCTGGCCACATCCTGGGGTGTTACAAGGACATCATGTCCACCAGCCCAAATAGCAGTAGGCACTTTCATGGCAGTCAGGTCATATATAGGCGGATGACTCTGTAGGAGAGAAAGCAAGGTCATACATGAGAGGAAACTCCTCAAAGCAATAACCACAAAGGCTGCTAAATGAATATGGACGATGGCCATAGTTGTGTTAGGCACCAGTGACATAGGAAGAAAACATACAATGGTCTCTACCTTTAAGAAATTTGCAAAAGAGGGAGAAAGGCAAGATAGCTAAGCAAATATTTGTATACAAAGTAAGGTATGTTAAATGCCATAAACACTCCCAAAATAAAGACAAAAAGCTATTTCCACCTGAGGATTTCATAAAAAGAGGGGTCCTGTGAAATGACTCTTGAGGGAAGGTTGCATTTTGACAGCAGAGATGAGGGTGGGTGGGAGGCAGGAAGAGTTTGTAGGCTATGATCAGGAATGGCAAGATTCCCAATATACCTGGAGAACAGAATATGTAAGGGGATGTGATAGGACATAAACTTGGAGGCAGATAGTCAAGGTCTGAATGTCAGGCTAGGAAATTTGGACATATTTCAGAAGTTTTGGAGACAAGATAGGGTCATTTCTCAGAGGTCTGTCTTCAGACTACCGTATGGGCAACAGTTAATGGAATCACCTAAAGAAAGAACAGGTTGAAGGCAAGTCCTGAAAAAATCTAGATGAGTAGTAGAAATGGTCCAAATTAAAGCTATTGGGATGGCTGACTTCTCCAAGGAAGAAAGAGAGTTTTGAAGAATCCCTGGGGAATGCTAATCATTTCAGAGTGGTGAGAGGAGGAGTAGCCAGTGCTTGGGACAAAGGGAACAATCACAAACAAAAGGAAAAGTCAGACATCACTGTGGGAACAGAGATAATGCTGTGAACTTGAGGAGACAGCAAACTGTTGAGACTAGTTTTTTGGAGGGAATGTAATAAAAATTGGCATCAACTAAGATTAATTCACAAAATAGGACTGGCTTGGAGCACAGTAGGACCAGCTAACTGTGGATAAATTCTAAGGACATTAACACTCTCACATACTTTAGTACTTGACCATAATGATCTTGAATGTGTGTGTTTATTTTGTTTCAGTTTCTTGTAAATGTAAACAATTTATAAATATAACATGTTTATTAAAAATAATGGAAGAAAACAGACATATGTGAAGTCCAAAATGAGAGTCCCTTAGTGTTTCATGTCCATCCACTTCTTTTCTTCTTTCTTCCTCTCTCTGAAGATAACCACTTTAACATTTATTTTTTTTCTAGACCTTTTCTAAGCATTTGCAAATACATGCATTTGTGTCTAAAAATAGTGTCAGCAGCAGGGAAAAAACTTTTAGGGGTGATAGAAATGTCCTATATTTAGATTGTGGTGTGGTTATACAAATAGATATATTTGTCAAAACTCATTTAATGGGACACATAAAATTGGTAATGTTATTATATGTAAATCATGTCTTCAACTGATTTTTAAAAATAAAACATACATGGTCTATCTCTTGTAGTGGTTTTAAGGATTAGTAGAATTATTCTTCTAACAGGCCAATTCATTACTGAGAAATTGATTAGTCTGATTGTTTTGATCCTCAGAAACAACTTATTAATAATTGATCTATAGTTGCATTAGTAAATAGCTTAAAATATGATAGCCTGGGAAAATACTTAAAACAATTTAATTTGTTTAGTTCATACTTACAAGCCAAGCCCCTGGTTATGAGAACAGAAAAGTGGTGACAGGATTAATTAAAAGTACAGTGCTAAACGAGTCTGCAGATTTTTATGTCATAAAGCTATATGGAAAAAGATGCCTTATGACCCAAGTCTTCAATGTTGGGTAATACTTATTCAACTTTCATGTGGAATTCTAATTTTCCTGTTGGCATTAAAAAGTATATATTCGTTTATGCTGTAAAGCTTTTTATGAAACAATTTCTATTATGTAGCCATTAAAAATATATTTAACAATCCTTCAGTAATGTTAGTCATCTCTTACTATAGCTTAAGTAAAATAGAAGGATTAAAATTTGTATAAAAGCGATATAATACTGAGAAAATTGGAATAAATACACCAAAATGTTAGTACATCTAGTTATCTGTGGATGGAAGGATTACACATGATCTAATTTCCTTTGTATATGCTTCTTTAATTTATAAATTTTCTGAAATAAATTTAAATTAAAATTAAACTTTTTTTAAAAAAAAGTTCTATCAGTATAAATGCCACCAAATGACAGGTAGGAGTCTTTCCACCCTCATATAATTTTTTAGTATAATTTATCAAAATCAGCATTCTGGGGTTACTGTAAGTAGCTCACCTGATTGTAATGTTTCATATTATCGGCTTCATTTCCCCAGTCATAAGCTCTGAATTCGTCAGATTGGTAAAGCTGAAACAAATGTTTTTTAGAAAAAGAATAGTGAGGGTAAGAATCATGAGAGCTAACAGCAAATTTTAGAAAAATACTGTGTGCTAGGAAGAAAATAGGGCTCCTAGATCACCAGAAGGATGTAAATACCCATTTTACAATTATGACAAGTGGAGCTCAACAGAACAACAAGCAATAACCCCCCTTTGGTTTAAAGGAAAAGTTCATGGAAAACCAAGCCTCATTAGAAAGAAGTTAAATCCCAGATACTTCTCTCTGAAGAAGTCTCAGTTCTCCTGAGGCTTCCCTAGTTTACCTCTTGCTTCAGTTCAGGGCCTATTTTAAAAACTCTGATTTAAGATGGTGTTCATTTATGTCATCTACTTGGTCTGTACCATAAAATCCTTTCTCTTAAATTCCAAGGAAATCAAGGCATACAGAAGGCAGCAAGGACAAACTGGAAACAAGCTCTTAAGATTCTTAGGGTAGGCCTGTTAACAGGGTCAATTCTGTCTTTTTAAATATATTGAAAATAAGGATTGGAATGGTTTTCCATGACTAAGACTCTACCTGTTTTATATGCAGAATGTTCTGTATTGATGAACCCGTAGGAGCATGTGACATATACACATCCATTCGACTCTAAAGGAGATAAAACTCATATTACAGCAATTGCCCAACAAAATTTTGCCTTTCAGAATCAGAGAAAAATGATGCACAGAAGAAGCAAACAAGAATGGGGCTTCGAAAATAACGAGGTAGAATTATCTAGATAAATTACCATTTATGTCAATACTTGAATGTGAGCGAACCACAGGCTGACTAATGGAATGGACTGCTTGACAGCAAACCTGTACCAGCTCTGAATCTGTAGGATAATTTGCTTATTTTCAAGTAGAAGGAACAGTAGTGGTCATCATGGAGCAAAGCCAATTAGGAAAGGTTCTATGCGCAAGTGTGGGGGTGATGCGTGCATGCGCACCCAGGTGCACTGTCACAGATTAGATCAGAAAACCAGGAGTTCAGGCCCTGTTGTTGTTAATGATCAGCTTCGTGAACTTGGCCACCATATTTAACATCTTTGAGTCTCTGTTTTTTCATCTATTAAATGAACATACTAAAAGTCATACTACCAATTTACTAGGCTTTTATGGGGATAAAATAAAATATTGCAAAAGTAAAGCTAAAAGCCATTTTTTTCCAAAGGTTATTTCAATATTTGTAAACATTATAGAGATAAAATAGTAATCGTAATTCTATGTCTTAGAAAATAATGAATCTAAGAGAAACTATTAAAAATCTTTACTTTTGAACAAGCCAACTTTGAACAATGGTTCCTTATGGGTTTCAGTCTAACACAATTTAGCTTCTTAGAGAATAGGGGTACAGAACAATTATCTTGCGACTGACTTCACTGTAACAGCCTCATTGGCTGCTATTTGGAATACTAGAGACAACTATTCAACCACACCAGTCTGCGGATGTGAACTCTTCCTCCTCCTTCTTCTTGAATTCTCAATCACAGAAAATGAAAAGTTGATAAAACAGCACTGCTGCTGCTTCATAAAGAGGGGATCCCATCTCCCTTCCACCCTGTCCTGTTATTTTGTAGGTTAAGTGGTGAGTTTCATTTCAAAACAAAAGTCACCCACAAAGGAAGGAACATGTGAAATAAGATCAAGGTTTATCTGTGCTTCTCTCCTTTTTCAGGATTTTATTTTTAATGCAATATATTCAAATGCAATAAATTCAAATTGACTGTAGTAAGTTGTGGCTGACTGAGAACATGTAAGAAGCTACTACCCATTATAAAACATTCATTTTCCTAAATTTTGCCAGGGAATAGAAGAATGAAGCTGCCTATTCACTTCCCCAGTCTTCATATCAAGGTTTGTTGAGTACCTGATCTTCTATGTATAGCAGATATCTACCTTCATGGTTCCATATAAATTTTAGGCTTTTTTTTTATTATTTCAATGAAGAATGTCATTGGTATTTTGATAGGGATTGCATTGAATCTATAGATTGTTTTGGATAGTATGGACATTTTAACAATATTGATTCTTGCAATCCATAAACATGGAATACCTTTCCATTTTTTAATGTCATTTTCAATTTCTTTCGTCAGTGTTTTATAGTTTTCATTGTAGAAATCTTTCACTTCTTTGGTATGGTTTATTCCTAGGTGTTTTATTTTATTTGTAGCTGTTATAAATGGATTACTTTCTTGATTTTTTCTTTCTTTTTTTTTTAAAGATTATTTACTGTTGGCATATTGAAATGCTGCTGAATTTTGTATGTTGGTTTTGTATTCTGCAAATTTAATGAATTGGTTCATCGGTTCTAGCAGTTTTTTTTTTTTTTTGGAGTCTTTAGGTTTTTCTAAATATAAGATTCTGAGCAAAAAGCACAAAGCTGGAGGCATCACATGACCTGGCTTCAAATTATATTACAAAGCTGTAATAACCAAAACAGTATGATACTGGTATAAAAACAGACACATAGACGGATAGAACAGAATAAAGAACCCAGAAATAAATCCATACATTCATAGTCAACTAATTTTCCACAAAGGCATCAAGAACATACATTGGGGAAAGGACAATTTCTGCAAGAAATGATGCTGGGAAAACTAGATGTCCATATGCAGAAGAATGAAATTAGATCTCTATCTCTTGCTATATACAAAAACAAAATAAAAATGGATTAAAGACAAATTTGAGACCTGAAACTATGAAACTACTAACAAACAAAAATTGCAGAAACACTCCAGGACATTGGTCTGGGCCAATTTGAGGTAAGCCTTCAAATGCACAGGCAACCAAAGCAAAGATGAACACATTAGATTACATCAAGCTAAAAAGCTTCTGCAAAGCAAAGGAAACCATCAACAAAGTGAAGTAACAACGTGTTGAATGAGGGAAAATATCTGTAAACTACCTATCTGACAAGGGATTAGTAACCAGAATATATAGAGGTCATATAACTCAATTGAAAAAAAAAAAAAAAAAAAAAAAATCTGATTTAAACATGGGCAAAAGATCTGAATAGACGTTTCTCAAAAAAAGACATACAAACTGCCAAGAGGCACATTAAAAACAATGTTCAACATTACTAATCATTAGAAAAATGCAAACCAAAACTACAATGAAATACTATCTTATTCCAGTTAAAACAGCTTTTATCAAAAAGATAGGGAATAATGGATGCTGGCAAAAATGTGGAGAAAAGAGAACCTTTGCACAGACTTGATAGGAATGCAAATTAGTACAGGCACTATGGGGAAGAGTAGGAAGGATCCTCAAAAACTAAAAGTAGAACTACCATATGATCCAGCAATTCCAGTGCTAGTTCTATATTAAAAAAAAAAAATCAATCCATGGAAGAGACATTTGCACCCCCATGTTTACTACAGCACTATTCACAATAACCAAGATATGAAATCACCCCAAGTGTCCATCAACAGATGAGTGGATAAATAAAATGTGGTACATTTTGACAGTGGAATACTATTCAGCCACAAAAATAATGAAATCATGTCATTTGCAATAATGTGGATGAAACTGGAGAACATTACATTAAGTGAAATAAGTCAGGTATAAAAACACAAATACTGCATGTTCTCACTCATATAGGGGAGTTAAAAAAAACTGACCTTATAGAGATAGTGAGTAGAATGATGGTTACCAGAGACTGGAAAGGGAAGTAGGGATAGGGGAAGGACCAAGAGGCATTGGTTAATGGGTACAAAAATACCATTAGAAGGAATAAAGTCCAGCATGCACAATAGGATGACTATAGTTAACAATAATTCATTATATATTTAAAAATAACTAGAAGAGTCAAATTAGAATGTCTCTAACAAAAAGAAATGATAGATGCTTGAGGTGATGGATATCCCAATTACCCCGACTTGTTCATTACACATTGTGTGCTTATATCAAAATATCACATGTACCTCATAAATATGTACAACTATTATATACCCATAAACATTTTTAAAAGCAAAAATAAAATCTGTCTTTAAGTGTTTGGAATACCATATGAATTTATACAGTAAATAGATACATCAAAATGAGTCAAAGGAAAGCTGGAATTTCTTAAGGTATCAAATGGCTCTATAATTATCACATGTACCTGATTCATATTTTTCTTGTTGGATCCAGCCCATAAGGACATAAATTCACTGCATATCAACCAGAGTATCTTATTGTTGCAGATTTTGGTAGAAGGTATCTTCTTTTTCTTATCTTCTAAAAAGAAACCTTTGGTACCAAAAACAGCCTATGAAAGTAAATAGTAATTACCTTTGAATGAGATAAAATATTTGCAAACTATGCATATTACAAGGGATTAGTAACCAGAATATTTAGGGAGCTCAACTCAATAGCAACAACAACAATGACAAGAAGCCCAAATAGCAAGAGCAAAAAACCAGAATTCAAGAATCATCTTCAGACTTCTTGACATTTCCTTCCTTCTAGGAAAGAGCCATGCTTGGGGATCTATTCGTACTACTGATTCAGTCAAGGAGACCAAATTATTCAGGAAAGGTGACTTAGGAAGGTATCTCCAAATGAGGAAGATTATCAAACATTACTTACAGGGAGATTGCAATAAAGGCTGTCAATCCCAAATTCACTTCTCCATAGTGAAGCTTCCCTGTATTCTTCCCAGTCAGTGCTTGCCAATATTTTTTCTCATTAATTGGTACTAAATGTAAAACAGTTTTTCTTAAGGTCAAATAATACCTTGAATATGAGGGAAAATCGGGGTTTTCCATGTTACCCATGTGCACATTGCATTCGAGTACTGTCCCAGATTAGCCAGCTCTCAGGCTGAAAAGTAGAGAATGGCGAACCAAAGAGAAGGAACCATTGAACAGAAAAGATATGATAATGTCGCAAAGGCAGCACAATTGAAACTTCCAGGACTTGGGAAAGTAAACTTGGATGGGGATTCCTGGTGGGGTCTTAGAGCTTCTGGGGGAAACTGATGGAAGAAAAGAGCAGGAAATGGGACTTAAAAGTAGCAGGAATATTGACAGTGGGAAATGTGAAACTGAGATAACCCAGGAACATGATTTGCCTTATAGCTGACCTATGTAGGAAGAGCAACACATACAACACATATATGTATTTACAGATAGATGTGTCTCTCTCTGAATTTAATTTAATAAATTAGTTTGCTCATGCTGCCCAAATATAGAAAACATTAAAAACTAACTGATGTCAACACATTTTGAAATAAACTAGAAAAGTTCTTGAATAAGGAAGTTACATCATTTGTGCTCTCAGTAAACAATACAATGAAATTATTATCAGACCAATCATTAGGCCCTATGGAAATTCTTCCTTGTGTTAGCTCACAAATAATTTTTTTCCCATTCCTACCACTCCAGCCCAAACCAAGATCTCATTTTCTTATATATGAATTATTTTGATATTATAACTGGTCTCCTTGATTTCAGATTTGGCCCAAATCCATTTTATCCATCACCCCAAATTCAAAGGCCAATTTTGAATTTTATTAAATGCTATGTTCATTGTGGCAATGACCTTTGTAAAGAAACAAAAGCAAAGAGAAAAAAAAAAAACCTCTTTAATAGATAAAATTCCAAATCCACAATTGGCAACCAAATGATTTTTTCAACTCTTGAAAAATAACCAGTAAACATTTGACTTAATACTTGAGTTGTAATACATTTAGGCTTTGGAATCTTAGCTTTAGTAAATTAGGGCAAGTTTCCATATTGGAAGCAATATATTAATTAGGTTTTTTTAATGTCAAAATTGGACACATCAGTGATTATGGGTAACTTGAAGTGTCTTTCATTTGGGCAATGTGAATTCATTGACCTACCTGACTAAATGGAACAAAAAAACCCTTGGGAAAACAAGAAAAATCTTTGTTGTCATACAGCACTCAGCTCAGCTAGAGGTTCTGACAGATACTCAGCTCTGCTAATGACCTTGTAGAGTAAATTGTATTATAGAACTTACAGATACTATGACACAGATATACGCACACATGGAGACACACATACACAAGCACATGCCCACAGAGTCTAAGTTCTATAGATTTTATCTAAATTTCCTACCTTTACTTTACAGTAGATTTGAAAGTAATAAGGATTTCTGATCCAAAATGAGATCCTCAGGTACATTTTGGTGAAAGGAGCCTACCTTGATTATGGAATTTGGAAGTAGAAAAAAACTGGTAAAAATGCCCGTGGGATATTTGAATGAGATCACAGGACCCAAGGCAAAATTCATTTTGATTCTTTGTGCCAGTTCAGGCATGGTGGAAAAGGCTACAAACCCTGAGAGAATAGGAGACAAGACAATCTTGTAAAAATAAGTACTTATGCAAAGTTTCTAACAAAAATGGGGCTCTGTTTAGTCATTTTTCCTTCTATCGCGATCATATTGGGGATGAATTGGAAGTCTTCTGAGTTATTCTATAAAGATAATCTGCCTTCAATCTTCTCTGCTCTCAAGTCTCCAATTTTATTTTATTCTGCGTATGGACAATTTGACTTGGCTAGGGGAAATGGAGTAGCTGGCAGGGGAAAGGTGATGGTTAAGCTGTCGGAGTAGCTACTACTGTGTGAACTGAAGGTGACCTCACTTCCCAAGCATGGGGTAAATGCTGGCAACGTTCTCATTTCGTCCCTAACTCTGAGATGCCAGAACGAATCACAGAGCTTCCGGAAGTAAATAACCAGTCACAGGAGGTGAACTGATTTCTTTCTACAGCATCACCCAGTTATTCCAACAGGTTTTCTTTCTCACTGTGGAATGAAATTTCACTGCTCCCAGTGACTTGCTGGGTGTTTATCAACCCTCGAGACTCTTCCCTGTTTCCAAAAAGAAAGGGGTTTCCCTAGTGTCCATGATGGCCCAGTAAGGACCAGGCGTCTCCATTTGCTTTGCTCTTTCAGCAGTAGCATTGCATCCCTTTGTATCTCTGTGAGGATGGAGATCAGCACGACACTGGGTAGGCTAGCAGGAATATCCATATAATTTGCTTTCCAGAGGTCCCTTCCTGGGCCTCCACTGGTGTGTGGGGGTGTGTGTGTGTGTGTGTGTGTGTGTGTACTGAAACACTTGTTGAAACATTGAAACTGTCTTGGCCAGATAAAGAAGAACTGAAATAATTGACTGAACAATTGATTAAAAGACTCTGAATCAGGAATAGTACTTCCCCAGAGGGTGTTTGGAAATGTGCAGAGGTGAGATTTTGGGGGGTCACCCTGACTGCAGAGCCCTGTTTAATGGGCTGGGACCTAAATGTCCTACAAAGAGTGGGTACTCCTTACATAATAGAAATTGCTCTGTCCAAAACGCAAACAACATTCACTAAAAAATTTTATGCCCTAAATGTAACACAGAGCACAAATAATCAAATTCTACATGTTTTTTTTTTCTTTTTTTCAGATCAAGTATAAGACCAGATCTAAGTCCTACCCACTTTCCAAAACCAACTAAAGTCATTCCTTCTCTACACCATTTCTCCAGAATCCTTACACACCCCATTGGTGAAATCAGATACACCTGGTTTGAATCTGTGTTCTGAACTTGTGTTTCTTCTTCTATGAGATGGAGATAATAACAATCGGGTTGTTTTGAAGATCAGAGGGAGATACTGTGGGAAAGGTCCTGAACACAAGACCGTACACATAACGAATGCTCAATATGTTTTAGATACTATAATTATTTGCCTATTAGTGGCATTTTTGATCTCCTATGAGTTCTTTGACACTTTTTTAGTATATGCTCTTTGATGCTAGCTAACTGCTTGTTCTGAGCTTGGAAAGTGCCTATCAATCTAAAGTACTAATTAATATATGTTACTGATGATCGTGGTGATAATGAAGATATTTCCCTAAACTAAAATATTGCATTTTCACATGATTTATTCTCTTAAAATTGGAAACTTTAGTGGAAATGACAAATTCAAAGCTTTTATTAGTATGAGTTCCTGTCAACTTTTACTTGGAACTAGATTATTGATTTCTTTCCAAACTATCTGGGAAGTAAATTGTAAAGTAAATTAAGTAAAGTAAGTAAATTAAGAAGTAAATTGTCAACTTAAAAAACTTTAAAAATTTGTACATACTGCTTACGTTTACTTGTTATTTCATAAATACTAAATCACACACTAAATAGATCAACTCAACTGATTTATTATAGTAAACTTTTGTGTTCCAACAAACAAATATAACCATGTCTTTTCAATTTGTTTAAATATAAGTATAAGCCCCTCCCTTTTATTTTTTAAAAATCCCATTTGGGTTGTGAGAAAGAGATGATTGATGCACATTCATTATGTTTCAGCCATAATCCTTGGCATTAAATTTTACTTTTTCAGCTCAGAGAGAATCTAGAAACTTACTCTGCAGAATCATTTCTTTGAATTTGGAACACACGTTATTCCTGGGAAATTGCATCACCATAGTCAATATGCTGCTGTGACCAGAGACCCAGGAAAGGTTTGCCTTACATATAGTCTGTGCACTGCAGGCTCATAGCTACTCAGAGTACTAGGGTTATTCCCAGCAGAGGACAGAGAATTGAAGGCACTATAAATAGCAGTTATTTTATTCCAACATAAAGGTGAACTCCTGTAAGACTCTGAGAACACTGACCCTCAAAAACATACCTATTGTAGTGCCAAGTGAATGTCCAATGAAATACAATTTCTCCTGACCAGTTTTATTTACAATGAAGTCTATGACTCCTGGGAGATCATATTTGGCCATTTCATCAAAACTGCAAAATAAAACAGGGGCTTTTATAAATACTTGCAAGTTTAAGTTTAAAACTCACAGCACTTGCTCACTTCTTTTTTACACACAGATTCTATGCTGTTTACTTAGATTCAGTGTGTATTTCATTATTTATCCAATTATATATAGGCTATTGTAGCTTTTTGTTTTTCTGCATATATACATTTTACTTCCTCATAAGAGGAACACTTTCAAGACTTGTGTATGATGTTTGAAGTTCAACCTTATGATTCCTCCTCTTCCTTCCCTTCTCTTGCTTTTCTTTGCCCTTCCTTTCCCCATCTGGCTTGCATGCTTCTACTTCTGAGTCCCCCACGAGGCTTCACAATTTCTTAGGGCCATTTAATACCCATCTTTGGAAACAGGGCTTTTGTAAATCATGATTCTACCATTTATGAGCTTTGCAACTCTTGAGAAGTTACTGAAATGCTCTGAGCCTATGTTTTCTCATTTGAGAAATAAACAGGGTAGTGCCTGGTTTACAGGGCTGCTAAAGGGATTTAATGGTATGAAAGAAATGACTCTGGCTGCTAGTAGGCATTCATTAAGATGTTGTTAGTAGTATTCCTGCCCACAAAGATACATATATATGTGTGTGTATATATATTTAATATATACCATATATTCCAATATTCCATAGTACCAGTATTTTGTTGTTCAGACAGGAGGAGCAAAAGGGCCTATATAACATTTAGTCAAATCAGGTATTCCATAAGCCAGAAGCCTGTTTATTAAAAGGACATGTGAGGAAATCTATGGATTGGGACTTCCAAGAATAGGAGAATTGTTGTGACACCTCCTAAAGACTAGTGATACAATACTTCCTGATGCTTGCCCCTGCCCAAGAACTCTGACCATAACATTGTATTCTATTCCTCCACTCTTCTCAAACTTTCAGTGGGTACTGAATGTTCTATTAATATAATAGGAATACACACTCTGTTCTAACAGCCGGTTTACAAACCAACAGGGAGCGTAGGCCTGAAGAAAGAAAGTCTATTGCAGGCATCAGCCTGTCCTCTAGTGACAGCGGAAAACTCTTCCATTAAAAGAAACAATTAAGATATCAAAAAGATTCTTCTTCATTGCCCATTAACAAGGTTTTAAAAACTTAATATTGGAGTTTTTGTGAAAATGGTACTATGTGCGATCTCAATCACAGTTTCTCTAAATCAGTACAGTCCTGGTCCAAATCATCTTTACACAGTTGATTGGTCATCCAGAAGAAATGACTTGTAAAATTATCACTAAAATGAACATAAGCTTTGTGAGGTCCGAGAGTTGGTCTGTTCCCTGTTTGAGTGTTCAGGGCCTAGAACAGCGCATACAGTAGCCACTCAGTAAACATTGGCTGAATGAATGTGCACACTAGTCACGATAATTTCCTCAGCTGTCTCTTTGGACATACTTTTAATGCATAAAATTGATGTAAAAATTGGATGTAAAAATGATCTTGTTGAAATGCCATACTTTGCCTGTGGGAGAATCAGTGAAAAATCAAAGCTTCTTGCTGTTTCCCTCCTTTGAGATGTTAACAGAAACTACAAGAAGCTATATGACTTCAAGCGTCAAAGATTGTCATTAATAGCACCCATGTTATTTTTTAAAAATTGCCTCCAATTTCCCTGTTGAGTTTTCTTAGCTAATATTTACCTAAAGGCCCAGAATTTCTCATCTGTCTCTGAGAGTGTTTTGTGTCTTCTTGACCAAGTGTTTCCCCGACTGTTTCCCATCCATACATCATAACCTGCATCTGCTAGAAGGAATCCAAGGCTTCCATTGGCATAATTCTCAAGCCAGTAGGCATTGTCTGCAAACAGGGCATGCTGCATATACACAACTGGCCGGGGACCTGGGGGGAGAAAGGGTAAGATGAGAGAGGGAAGAAGAGAGAGAGAGAGAGAGAGAGAGAGAGAAATTTATGGTAAATAGAGCATGTCAGAAACATTACAGAAATACACACACATGCACACATGGTAAAACAAAAACTGTTTTCACTTTTCCCTTGTCAATAGTATAGAGCATTGTAATCAGGTAACTTCAGTTTCTTGAGCACATATTTTGTACCTGGTGCTATGTTGACCTATTTATATGTATTAGCTTACTAAATTCTTACAACAACTCTATAAACTAGCTGCTATTTTGAGAACCCTCATTTTGTAGATGTGGAAACCAAACTTTATGTAGTTAAGTAACTTTCCCAGAGGGCCACCCAGATAAGAAGGCCAGAGCAGGGACACAAACCCAGTTCTTTTTATGTCAAAGCCTGTACTGGTAACTACTCTGCTCTGTGTATTCGTATATACAAATTTCCTGGGTGTGAAATTTATCATGCTTACTCAAGTCCTATAGCTCTTCCAGAGAGGAAGAAGAGGTGAGTGTAAGTGGACACTGATTAGTTCCTCACCAAATTTCTATTCAAATCCCCATCCTCTGCCCAGTGGACAGCATTTAAAAACTACAATAATATACTCAGCTCAATGTCCCTCTGCCAACCTGCAGATTCCTGAGGGAGAGAGAGCATTCAGGGAGATGCAAAGAACCAGGGTGGAAGGTCAAGTAAGGCACTATAATTTCATGACTAAGAGCACAGGCTCTGGAGCCAGGATGCCTGGGCTTAAATTCTGGTCTGTCAGCTTGCTATTTGTGTGACTTTAGACTTCTTAACATAACCGGTTGTGCCTTAATTTCATCATTTGTGAAATGGTGACTATTAGTGGTACCCATCTCATATTGTTGATGAGAGGTTTAACTGATTTAAATTATTTAGAACATTACATCTAATGAATGACCTTTAATTCTAAATCTTTCCAAAATTATCTCTACTTAAGCAAAACCTTTCCCATAAAAGTTTTCTCCTTTTATATTTCACAACTCCTTCACATCTGTGCCTGGGATTGCCAGATTTGGTAAAAAATAAAAACAAAAGTAAGCAAAAAGATCCAGGATGCTCTATGAAATTTTTATAAATAGTGATAATAGTGACTAATGAATGAAGAGTGTATCTTAAAATGAGACTTATAAAAAATTATTTATTGTTTATCTGATCTTCAAATTTAACTGGGTGTTTCATATTTTAACTAGTAAAACTACTCATGTCTCACTCTCATTTTTCATTCTGAAACTGGAGATCTAAGAGGGAGAGAATGTCAAACATGACCTCAACTGGTACTTAATATGTGTGGTAGGAGAAAAGATGCAAAATGAACATGGTAAGCAGCTGCCAATAAATTATTTGCTTTTGAACCATTGCAGATATTTTGCTTATTCTTATTTCTTCTTCAGAGGCTTTGCAGTTAAATTTTCCCTTTTAAGGAGTATCATTCCCCTGCTGTGGCATGGCTGGCCCCTCATTCTAGAATTCAAGCCTTATTGACACCATACTCTTTCACTCCATGAACCATCTATCTCTTAGATCAAATGTATGTGGATGTGGATGTTAAGGTTTTCAGTCCTGGAAAACTTTTCAGAAATGCTGTTGTCATTTAACTAGATTGTTTTTTACCCTGCAGAGGGAGGCCCCTTGATTTTAGTGGGGGCAGGAGAGGCTCTTCTTGGGTGCCCCACAGTCAATTTCATACAACCCAGCAAATCTCCTTCTGACAATGAGGAGATCCATTTTCCTGGGACAAAGCAATTTTCCACATAATAAATCAGTAATGAGGTGACAAAATGTAGGCTCCACCTTCCTGTTTACACCCTAACAAGTACCTCTGGTTGCAGTTAGCAAGATCAGTCTTGCTGTCTATATTTTTAGGTTCTTGTCTGTCTTCAGATAATTATCAGGCAAAGAATAAGCCTCCCTGTTAACTATTTAAAGCCTAATCCAATAATTCAAACCAATTTTGATAAACTCTGTTGATGCATATCTAGCACTAAATTCCTCCTGAGAAGGAGGATGTCAATGCAGTCCCCTTTTCAGGAGAGACATATCTTGTACCTGTGCTCCTAACGTGTCTTCGCCCATAGGGAATTCTGTTGACAAGGAGTATGTACCCATCTTCAGTGGTGACTTCATACTCTTCACTGGGATAGCCATTGTAGATGATGATTTCACTCTGCCCAGTAAAAATACAGTCATTAGTGGAACTTCTCCAAAGGATATAAAAAGGAATTAAAACAAACCCTCTATTGTGTGCTTATTAGGGTGAATTATCTGAAATTTAGAACACCAGGTAACTGTAAAATTAATAAAGTCTTAATACAAAATAAGTAGAATGTTCAAAAATATCTACTTTTGGCAAATATTTTGGAGTGTAGGGGAAAATTTAGCATTGACCCATTCTTTCTGACAAAGCTATATTCTCAAGTCAATTGTCTTTTGAGGCCCCTCTTGGTTTAAAAGTAATAGAACTATAGATCAATAGAAGACAATCACGTATATCAGCAAATAGCTTGATATTCTTAAAACATAAATTCAAAAGAGGAGTTCTATCTAGAGAGAGAGAGAGAGAGAGATAGCACAATAGCACAATAGCACAATTTTGGTTTCCATTACTGGACAGTGTTCGTTTTTCAGCCAAAGATCTAACTAACATGACTCTTGCAGAGGTCAAAAACCATCTATATTTTATCTGTTTTATCAGAGATTTTATGTTATAACAGAACCTTTTGTAACCTCATAATCCATTAGTCCTGCTTTATTTGATGTTCTTCACAGTTTTCCATGACTTACAGTATTCATCCACACCTCAGGATTCACTTCATTTTCCAAATCAAGGAATCCACCAACATTTAAAGTTCCACAGATCAAACAAGCTGTTGTTAAAAGCAGCCACATCATAGAAATGCCTGGCATAAAACATTTAATATTCACAGATTAATTATATCTATTAATGTTGATTAATGAAATAAAATGATTAATGAAATAATTAATAATTAATGAAAACTTGAATAGCACTGAAAGCGGATAATGTATTAAAGGGAATAAATACAGTGAACTAACTTTGAGCACTATTAATCTATTTTTTCATATAGAAGTTGTCTTTATTATAATCCAGTTCCTAAAATGAAATAAATTTAATCAAGTATGGAGGCATTTTTGGTCTGTAATCAAGACTGAATTGCTTTTAGTCTTTGTTTGCCTACAATTTGCCAAAATATCTAAAGATTCAGAGGACAGGTTTTCATACCATGGCCAAGTGAAAAGTGGAGTTATATCCTAGCTAAGCCCCGTATCCCACAAAGTAAACAAGAAAAATGGATAAATAAAACTTTAACCAAACAAAAAAGCTTATGATTAGTTTCTAGTGATGTGACTATTTCTCATGTGGCACCCAAAGGCAAATTTTGCATATTTCAGTGTGCAGTCTCACTTCCTTGTCATGGTTTAAAAGTATATCTGTTCAAAGGTAGACCAACACTATAACACTAAACAGCATGCTCATCATATAAGTGCTGCAGTCAAATGGTCTAAATTTGAAGTCCAGCCTCACCACAAAAGAACATGTCTAACCTCAGGCAAGTGTTTTAGTAGCTTTGTCTCTTGATTTCCTTGTTAGTAAAATTGGGACAATAATGTAACCTATCTCATAGGGTTATAGTGAGGATTAAGTTATATAACAGTGCAGTATAAGTTCTTAATAAATGCTTTCACTATTTTTCTTATAAAAGTGAGCGAGAGATAAATATTAGAGATAATTTACTATAACAAATTAAGATTTAACTTCTAGAAATGCAGAGTTTACTTCTGAAGCTAAATAGCTTTGCATACATTAGCTATGTGGTTGAAGATCATCTTATATCTGCAAATGTTTTGAAACTTTTCAAATTGTATGAAACTAATAATAACCAATAGCTACTGAGTGTCCTTATGGTAGGACTTGTTCTAAATAGTTCACATGTTATTTAAGCTCTCAAAATCTCCATAATTTTGGTACTAGTATCCTCATTTTATCAATAAAAAAAACAAAGGCTTAGAGAGATTTAAGACCTGCTCAAGGTCACAGAGCCAACAGGTGACAGATTTAGGATGGACACTCAGGCAACTCACTGCAGAGCTCTTGCACCTGACTGTCGGTGCAACTGGCACCTTCCAACCTGCCTCCTGGTTGTGATAGATCTTCATCTTACCTAGTTAGATGAGCTTCACCTGCTCCCAAGGACTCCTTATTGATGAGGAACTTCTGAACTTTTGCTTTTGACATCAGGCTGAAGAGTAAGAGATGATTACAGTGACAGTTAGAAGCTAGAGAGATGAGAAACAGGAAGCTTGTGAAAAGGAGGAAGCTTTAGACTGAGACACACACCCAAGGCGTGTCCCTGACACACCAAATGCCGTGATGCACTTGTAGGTTGGGAAATAGTGGTCTACATGATGCCAAATAACCAGTTTGACAGAATCCTTCATGTTTCCACTGAGTGTCTGTCATTGTTGGGAGGACTTAGCAATATTTTCAAACCAGTGTGTCAAACAGGGAAGTAGAACATACTCAAGATCTTAATGGGCTATTATCAGAGATAATAGTATCTCCCTTCCCCACTTGATCCTTCATGAGGATCAAACGGAGTAACATGTATTAAGGAACTAGTGCCAACCATGCAGTGTGTAGGGATGTGTGTGACTGTAACTCGTTTGAGAAGATGAGGGAACCCTGACTACAGGATCCTGAAACCAGAAGGAATTTGGAACTAGCAGTATGGCAGAGGAAACTAATTCACATGCCAAAGGGATTTGGCTTGCTGCCAACTTTGGCACAGTAACCTTTGTTTACACCAGTGGTTAAAGGCAGAAATGGAGGCTGAATAATGACAATTTAGCTCTAAGCCCCACATGAGATACCAGATAATGGAGGTACATGTGCCTCAGTTTTCTACTTCACTTAGTATGCCTATGGAGCTTAAGCAGTAACTGAATCTCTTTCATCTCCCAGCATGAAGAAGGGTAGGGAAAACTAGGTTGCTACCCAGCATCACATAGGCGTTTCAGTTCTATTAGTTTGGATTTATCCTCAAATCCTTAAATCTTTTCAAAAAAATGATATTTTTTATTGTCCAAATTGTAATACCTGTTTTAGTGAAGTGGGAAATTTCATGCCAATTAAACAAATGTGGAGTAAAAGGAAGTGTTCAGCTGGTCGGAACAGGGAAAAGTTGTGTACCACTCACTCCTTAATCATTTAGTTTTGATGAAAGACTCAAGCATGTTTTGCCCTGATTGATAGTATGATGGCATAGCTATGTGGATTTTCCTGGAATTTCTCATGGTTTTTAACTTCATAAACAATCTTTTCTAATAAAACTTTAATGAACTCTTTAGAAAGTTCTAGGAAGCACTATGTTATTATTATTAATATTGATTTGTTACCTTGACTTAATATGGAAGTAGCACAAATATAGTTCAATTTCACAGATCTTTACAGATTGTAGTCTAGCTCAAATCTTAAAAGAGTTTCTACGTCATTGACTCATATTCCTTCCTCAACTTTGAGTTATTTGAATAATCAGGAAAATTCTTGTAATTCTTTTGTTTGTACGGAAACAAAGTAATGTCAAAGAAATAAAGCTGAACTTTCTCCCAATGCTCCATCATTCTTCCTATATAAGCTTGCTATTTTAATAAGTATTTATTACTGAATATTATATATTTTTCTATATTATATATTGTTCTACAATATTCAATAATATATTCTATATTACATATTTCCTATATGATAAAGTATATAGAAAATATGTAATGTTATAATATTTCTATTATATATTTCAATACTCATACTGAAATTAATTTAAATGAATAAATGAAAACTTGTTCCTTGGCCCTGTGGGATACAAAATGGTAGCCCCTACTCTCTAGAAGCTCAAATTTTTCCGTTTTTTTTTTTTTTTTTAAATAAAATTAGATGATAGTGGAGCTAGAAAGGGGTAACCTCTCAGAAGGCATGTGGTATTTTTGAAATCTTGGTCCAAGTATCATATTATGGCCTAAGCTAACTGCTTAATGATGGCTGCTCATTCAGTTATGAAGATGGTGGAACATACATGGTTGAACATAGATCTTTGACTTCGGAATCTATCTGTAAAAATGATTACTATTTTTCTTCCAATGTCCTATTCAAAACACATTTGCTATTACAGTGTGGTTATCTTTTTGCTTGTTGGATTGCTTCTTTCTCCTCAAAGGCTGCTTTTTCAAATTTTCTCTTGAAAATAACTCAAAGTTAAAAAGGTTAGGCCATAACCAGCAAAATAGAAACTAGTGAGAATTTGGAAAAAATAAATAATTTGAACCTCACACTTTTGAGACAAATTTCACCCTACAGTAAAAACTGTGCATGAACAAGAACCTAGATTTTGTCTCTTGCTCACTAGATAATTTATCTAATTTATTTTGCATCCTAAAATTCAAACATTGCTCAATAGAACCATAAGTGTCCATAAGTATATATGTGTGTGTGTAAAATTATTAATTTGCACACTTTTGCTTAAGAGAAAATATGTTATATTTTAAAGTTTCATCTCTTTACTCATAAAGCAATGTTGGCAATGTTCATAATTTCCACAAGAAACTGTTATTTTTGAGATTACGTGTTAGACTAGAACGTGCTTTCTTTTAGCGTCAGTGAAAATGACTCTCTGTTTCAGTGCCATCTATACTACATCCATCTTTAAAAACACTAATGGCTATGATAGAGAGAAGAGAGAAGTGACAAAAAGGCCTATCAATCATAGTTAACTAAAATATTAAAGGTTTTTGAAGAGGCCATAATAGCTGACTGAACACACATCCATCCCAACTCAAAGTGTTCAAAGGAAAGATCACTTACATTTAAAGAGAAATTATTACCAAGAGTGCTGGCAGCTGTCCTTGATAACATCCATGTTCTGGAGTGGCAGGATCAGGACCATCTACATTTGTGACAAAGGTCAAATCTTTGTGAGAATGAAGAGGAAGGGCCATACCATTGAATATGAAGAAAATTATATCATTTTCCTGCCCCAGGCAGATTTACCATCCTTACTTCCTGCTTAATGTACAGCATGTATGTATGGTATTCTCTAGAGCTCATTTTGTATTTGAATTTCTGTAGGAGGTATATTCAAATGTAGATTCTTTAAAAAAAAAAAAGAGAGGACACTTAGCTAGACATTCAAGTTGGATCTAGTTTTAAGTTGTCTCATTCAACTTGCAAGAGTAAATAAATGGTGATTGGAATGTACAAAGAGGTAACATTGTTGTTTTGATATATGCTCCTGTTTTCTTCCTGAGTTAATATTCTATTTTGAGTTACTATTAAATCACCTTCAAATCTCACCAGCACCCCTGAAAATAGATAAATGGTTTTTAGGGTTAGAGTTTCTTGATTTCATTCCTCCTCTAATCACCATCACCATCAAAAATTTTTGCTAAGTGAGTAAATGAGTGATTGAATAGATGATTCTGGAAGTCCAGAGAATGCAGCTTAGTTACTGAGGAATACTAATAATGTTATTATAAATAATAATAGTGAATTATTTATTATTTATTAAGTACTTAGTATGTATCAGGTATTTTGCTTTGATATGCTACCAACTTGGCTATAAATTCCACTGGCTTTCTTTGCTGTTACAAAGGAAATTTTTCTTAACATTACCTGGTAAATTTAATAGAAGACAGGAAATTCACAGGAAAAATTCAATCTTGTCCTGTTTTTTAACTAAATTGGAAGAGATACATTGCTATTTACAGATTGCAAAGCACACGAATACAATTTAAAAATTGCTACCTGATACCAGTTTTTCTCTTCTTCAGCCTCCAAATTATTCTTAAACCTAGTAACCACCATAGCACAATCTGATATCTTTTACACAGTCTGCATTCTTGCATTTTTCCATACATTAAAAAAAATCTTGTAAATGCAGAGTTATTGCATTTTCCTAGAAATAACCAGAATTTTTAGGGGATAGTTAACTTACTCTTTTCACTATCTTAGAATGGTCCAACAGAAATATAATGCAAATTAGGTATTTAATTTAAATTTTCTAATGCCCACATTTTTAAAAAGTATAAAAGGTGAAATAAAATTTAAAAATACATTTTATTTAAACCAATATGTTCAAAATATTATTTCCACATATAGTCAATATCATTATTAGTGAAATGTTTTCTGATATGATTTGGCTGTGTCTCCACCCAAATCTCATCTCAAGGGAGAGACCTGGTATGAGGTTATTGGATCATGGGAGTGGTGTCCGTCATGCTGATCTCATGATATTGAGTGAGTTCTTATGAGATCTGATGGTTTTATAAGTGTCTGTCATTTCCCCTGCTTGCACTTCTCTCTTGTCTGTCACCATGTAAGATGTGTTTGTTTCCCCTTCCACCATGAGTGTAAGTTTCCTTAGGCCTCCCCAGCCTTGCAGAACTGTGAGTCAACTAACACCTTTCCTTTATAAATTACCCAGTCTCAGGAAGTTCTTTTTTCTTCACATCATAGCTATTATCATCATTTAAAATCACATATGTGATCTTATCTTTTAAGTATTCTTGAGAATAAGACTTCAGTGATTTTGTTTTCAAAATCCTGCGAGTGGCTAGGAGGGCCTAAAACCAGATGCTGCTTATCCCTTTGAGCTCATCTCACCCCGTTCTCTATTTGACTCCTTGGGCTTCTTTAATTTTCTTAATTTAGCCTAACTCCTCACCACCTGAGGTGGTCCCCTACCTGTATTATCTGGCAGACGTCATGGATATCAGCCAAAATTTCATGTCTTCAGAGAAGACTTCCCTGTCCACCCTGGTGAGGTGTACTTTTTGATGGATTCATCACAATTATTAAATTAAAATTAAAGGTTTAAGTATGTAAATTAGTATAGGTTGAACATTCCTAATCCGAAAATCCCAAATCTGAAATGCTCCAAAATCTAAAACTTTTTGAGCACTGAAATGCCACAAGTGAAAAATTCTACATCTGACCTCATATGATAGGTTACACTCAAAACACAGTCAAAACTTTTGTTTCATGCACAAAATTATTTAAAATGCCATACAAACTTACTTTCAGCCTATTTGTATAAAGTGTATATGAAACATAAGTGAATTTTATGTTTAGACTTGGATTCCATCCCTAACATATCTTATTATGATATGCAAATACTCCAAAATCCAAAATATGTCTGGTCAAAAGCAAATTGGATATAGGATACTCAAGCTATAGCTGTATAGTATCTGATATTTTTATTACTCTGAGCGCCACTTGGGCAGGAACAGTGTTTTCCTTATCATTCTTCTTGTTCTGAATGGCTAGTTTATAATACATACTTATAACATTAAAGCATAAAGGTTAAGAGCTTGATTACCTAAAGTCAAGGTTTCAGAGTTCAGAGAACTAATATTTTAGAGCAAGTTGCCCAGTGTCTCTAAACTTCAGTTTCCTAATCTGTAAAGAAGAGATAAAATGATACCATGTTATAAGGCTATCATGAAGATTAAATGATACAGTTCATGTAAAATGCTTACACTATTATTTCCTTATGGAAAAGGATCAGTGAACTTGAATGATTGTGGAGGGGATGATGATTTTTTGTCAAGCCACATACTTCTTTTTTTCCATGTACACCAAGCAACAGTTTCATACTAGAATTTCCCATGTGTTTTATTACAGGAAAAGAAAACACTAGTCTGGCCAAATTACAGTTTTTGATAAAAATTATAAACATGTGTTTTGTTTTATGTTCTGCATCTCCTTGTACATTTCAGTTGCATGAATCAGCATGTGTAAGTGCAGTCATTTCTGGGGCAGTGACAAGATCGGTGTCAGGATATGCCAGTCTGATATGCCATAGTCACCAAAGAGGTGTCTCCCTGTGAAGCCTTTGGTGCCCTGCCAGCCAGCCTTCCCCTGCCAAGACTCAGATATCCTTTAGTACCCTCCCCATCATGTCTACAGCCCCCTTATTTATGCCAGGAAATTCTTTATAAATGAGTCTTAGCCAAGTTTATATTAATTACATGTTGTAAAATACCCCAATTTCTGCAGGGCCCAATCAAGTGCTTCATGACACTTGACACTCCCAGTCACCAAACATATTCATTGATCATTGACTCTGTGCCTGGATGATTGTTTTCCAACCCTATATAAAGAAATAAAGACAAATTCAGCAATCAGCAATACAAAATTCAATGTCTGGCATTCAATATAAAATTATTAAGCATGCAATAAGGCAGGACCCATAACCAGGAGAAAAATCAATCTATAGAACAAATTCTCCAATGACAGAGGTTACTGAATTAGCAGAAAATATGTGAAAATATTTTTTAAAATATATTTACTCAAGAATTTAGATCTATCAAACTTTTAACCAAAGAGACAGAATAATAATTACCATCTTATATTAATATTATATATAATTTTATTATAACAGATAACATCATATGCAGTATATTACATATTTATTATATATCATTATCCAATCTTTAATACATCACAATTATATTTTAATATATTGTATATAATATAATTATAAATTATATATCATGTTATATAATTAATATAATCAAATATATAATTAATGTAATTGTTATACAATAATAAATAGTAGTAGTAGTTTACTATTGCTGATAACAAATTACCACAAACTTAGCAGTTTAAAACAATATACATTTATTATCTCACGTTTCTGTGGGTCAGTAGTCCAGACATGGAATAACTGGGTCCTCTGCTCAGGATCTCCCCAGGTTACCATCAAGGTGTTGACCAGGATGCTCACGCAATGGAGGGTTACTAGGGAAGAATGGGCTTCCAAGTTTATTCAGGTTTGGGCAGAGTTCATTTTCTTGTGGTTATGTGACTGAAGGCCTTGGTGTTTTGCTGTTTTATCAGCTGGAGGCCACCCTCAGGTTCTAAAAGCTATACTCAGTTCCTTGTAAGGCAGTTTTCTCAACATATCTGTTTATTCCATCAAGCTAACAAGGAGAATCGTTTGCTCCAATCTGCTAAGATGACGTGCAGTGGCGTGATCTTTGCTCACTGCAACCTCTGCCTCCCGGGTTTAAGTGATTCCCCTGCCTCAGCCTTACAAGAAGCTGGGATTACAGGTGTGTGCCACCATATCCAGCTAATTTTTGTATTATTAGTAAAGACAGGGTTTCACCATGTTGGCCAGGCTGGCCTGGAACTCCTGACCTCAAGTGCTCCTCCAGCCTCAGCCTCCGAAAGTTCTGGGATTACAGGCGTGAGCCCCCAAGCCTGGCCAACTTCTTGTATAATGTAATCAGGATTGACATCTTATCACCTTTGCCATATGACATAACCTAATCAAGGGTGTGACATCTTACACCTTTGCCAGTTCTGTTGACTTGAACAAAGTCTCATATCCAACCCACGTTGAAGGGGAGGAGATTATACAAAGGCATAGATACTAGAAGATGGAAATCACTGGGGATCATTCTGGTGTCTGTTCATCTCATTATTATTATGAAAATCCACTTGCTTAGAGAAAGAAAAGTACATTTAATTTTGTAAATATGCCTCCATCAATCTAATTAGGTCTTGATAAATTTCCTGAGGTGCATCCTCTCCAAGGTAAAAATCCACATGATTGTAGTGTGGAATCAGCTTGTAATAAATAAGGTTGGCAATTTGAGGAAGTAAATTTTTGACATCCTTGGGATCAGCCACAATATCCTGTCCACCATTCCATACTGCTGTTGGAACTTCCATCTTAGTAATGTTGTATAAAGGAGGTGTAAGCTAAATGTAATAAAAGAGAGAGAAAAAAGTTTTTTACAGAAAATTACATTATAGAAGTAACATTAACTATCAGCTGTTGAGCAAGTTCTTTAAATGCTACAAGTGTACACTTAGTTTACACTTAATGGTATATAACCATTAAAATGTTAAAAATACTTGAAACCACTTTTGTGCACTAATATGAATTGTGAATTGAAAAAACAATGATTGTATTTCTGACTTGCACGTTTGGGAAAATAACAAAAGATTCTAGAGGAAGAGGTTCTTTTTTCCATGGGGGATCATCTTTCTAGTCAGCATTTGATCTCAGAATGTGACCTTTTCAAGCAAAGTGTTGGATAGGATAAGTATCCTTTCTCCTAGGCAAAATCTGGACTCAGTGGCATTATTAATATTTGGGAATCAGCAGACTCTTCAGGGAGCATTGTGACCAATGCATGAAAGACATTTGAAGTATGATGTTAAAAAGGAGTCAGTCTGTTACAAATAACTAGTGACTATAGTACTCTATAAACTCTCAACAAATTCTCCCTTACTGCTTCTTTCTTATATTGATTCAACACAATCTCTGGTCCAGGTAACCAGGTCTGGCCAGTTCGTCCTCCATTCTTCAGGCCACAGTGATTGTATGAGAGATAGGCATGTGACTAAAACTGGGCCAGAGGCCTCTCTAGAACGCTTTGCCATAGCCATTGAGAATATAGTATCTTTTGGTGGAGGTTGGGGTGAGGGGGCCATTGGAAAAACTATATGAACTAAGTATATCTAGTCACCATTGTTTCCTCACCAGAGACGACCGTATTCTGAAATAGTGTGTGTGTGGCATATCCCCACCCCACTCCATCACGTACATCTAACTACTGCAGCTGTGGAGAAAAGTCAGATATTTCACAAGAGTTAGAATTGAGTTATACATTTTCATTATTATAGTTGTTATAGTAGTTGTTATGGTGACATTAAAAATTCCCACATTAAAAAATTTTGGCTGGGCATGGTGGCTCAAGCGTGTAATCCCAGTACTTTGAGAAGCTGAAGCAAGAGAATCGCTTGAGCCCAGGAGTTCAAGATCAGCCTTCAAAACATAGTGAGACCCTGACTTTATTTTTAAAGGTAAAAAAAAAGAAAGAAAAGAATTTTTTTTCCCCAAATTTCTACATCCTAGATTTGAAAAACCCAAGTATCATTGAAGACTACTTTTTCAGTTTAAGCTCAGTCTATCGGCAAGAAGCCAAAATCATTATTGGATTTCCTCACACACTTGGAAATAAAATAACAATAACAACAATACACATTTCCCTTTAATATAAAACTTTCTCTAAAAGTTTTCAAAGATCTGGTGACGCACCAGATCTAAAGTAGTACTGTTTGCTAGGGAATGGTGTGCCCTGGCAGATACTACTACTTCCTAAAAATGATACTTCTTACTTATATATTTAATGTTCCAAATAATGGTATTTTTTAAAGTGGCTAGTAAATGACATCCTAAAGAACTATTAGGCAGTCTTAGTTATTAAACATAGATAAGAAGTCAGAGAATATACTTTAAAAACAAACATGTTTTTTGTTTGTTATTTGTTTTTGTTTTTTTGAGAAGGAATAAGTATAGTGGAGAAGACTAGACTTCAAATCCAGGAATCCTAGGTCATATTCTGGTTGATTTTTTTCCCCTTCCAACTTTTATTTTAGATTTAGGGGGTACATGTGCAGGCTTGTTACCTAAGTAAATTGTACATCATGGAGATTTGGCTTACAAATGATTTTGTCATCCAGGTAATGAGCACAGTACCCAACAGGCAGTTTTTCAATCCTCACTCTCCTCCCAGCCTCCATCCTCAAGCATGCCCCAGTATCTATTGTTCCCCACTTTGTGTAAACTCAGTGTTTAGCCCCCACTTATAAGTGAGAGCATGTGATATTTGGTTTTCTGTTCCTGTGTTAATTTACTTAGGATAATGGCCTTCACCTACATTCACATTGCTGCAAAGCACATTATTTCATTCTTTGCCATGGCTGCATAGTATTCCATGGTGTATATGTACCACATTTTCTTTATTCGGTTCACCTCTTATGGGCATCTAGATTCCATGTCTTTGCTATTGTGAATGGTGCCACAATGAAATATGTGTACATGTGTCTTTTTGATAGAACAATTTATATTCCTTTGAGTATATACCTAGTAATGGGATTTGTAAGTCAAATCACAGTTCTGTTTTAAGTTCTTTGAGAAATTGTCACATTGCTTTCCACAATAGCTGAATTAATTTATATTCCCACCAGCGGTGTATGTGCATTCTCTTTCTCTACAACCTCACTAACATCTGTTATTTTTTGACTTTTAAATAATAGCCATTCTGACTGGTGTAAGATGGTATCTCATCATGGTTTTGATTTTCATTTCTCTAATGATTATTGATATTGACCATTTTTCATATGCTTATTGGATGCATGTATGCCTTCTTTTGAGAAGTGTTTGTTCATGTACTTTGCTCACTTTTTAATGGTGTTGTTTGGTTTTTGCTTGTTTGCTGAAGTTTCTTATAGATTTTGGATATTAGATCTTATAGGTTTTGGATATTAGATCTTTGTCAAATGCATAATTTGAAAATATTTTCTCTTTTTCTTAGGTTGTCTGCTTACTCTAATAGTTTCTTTTGCTATTCAAAAGCTCTTTAATTTAATTAGGTTCCACTGGTCAACTTTTTGTTGTTGTTGTTGCAATTACTTTTGGCATCTTTATCATGAAATTTTTGCCAGGTCCTATGTCTAGAATGGTACTTCCTAGGTTTTCTTTTAGGGTTTTTACAGTTGTAGGTTATACATTTAAGTCTTTAATCCATCTTGAGTTAATTTTTGTATATGGTAAAAAGAAGGAGTCCAGTTTCAATCTTCTGCATATGGCTAGCCAGTTATCTCAGCACCAATTATTGAATAGACGGTCCTTTCCCCATTGCTTGTTATTGTCAACTTTGTTGAAAATCAAATGATTGTAGGTGTTCAACTTTATTTCTGGGTTCTCTAACCTGTTCTATTGGTCTACGTATCTGTTTTTGTACCAATACCATGCTGTTTTGGTTACTGTAAACTTGTAGTATAGTTTGAAGTCAAGTAATGCCTCCAACTTTGCTCTTTTTGTTTAGGATTGCCTTGGCTATTCAGGCTTCTTTTGGGTTTCATATGAATTTTAAAATAGTTTTTCTAATTCTATGTCAGTTGTCATTTGTAGTTTGATAGGAATAGCATTGAATCTGTAAATTGATTTGGACAGTATGGCCATTTTAATGATATTGATTCTTCCTATCCATGAACATGGAATGTTTTTCCATTTGTATCATCTCTGATTTCTTTGAGCAGTGTTTTAAAGTTCTCATTGTAGAGATCTTTCATTTCCCTGATTAGCTGTATTCACATTTTATTCTTTTTGTGGCTATTGTGATTGGGATTATGTTTTTGACTTGGCTCCCAGCTTGGACATTGTTACTGATTTTGGTATGTTGATTTTGTATCCTAAAACGTTACTGAAGTTATTTATCAGTGTAAGGAGCTTATAGAATGAGACTGTGGGGTTTTTTAGATATAGAATCACATCATCCATGAAAAGAGGTAGTTTGACTTCCTCTCTTCCTATTTGGATGCCATTTATTTCTTTCTCTTGTGTGATTGCTCTGGCTAGGACTTCCAGTACTATGTTCAATAGAAGTAGTGACAGTGGACATTCTTGTCTTGTTTCAGTTCTCAAGGGGAATGCTTCAAGCTTTTGCCTATTCAGTATTATGTTGGCCGTGGGTTTGTTATAAATGGCACTTAATATTATTATTTTCTTTTTTTTTTTTTTTTTTTTTTTGAGACAGAGTCTTGCTCTGTTGCTTAGGCTGGAGTGCAATGGCATAATTTCGGCTCACTGCAACCTCTGCCTCCTGGGTTTAAGCTATTCTGGTGCCTCAGCCTCCCAAGTAGCTGGAATTACAGGTACCTGCCACTACACCCAGCTAATTTTTGTATTTTTAATAGAGATGGGGTTTCACCATGTTGGCCAGGCTAGTCTCAAACTTCTGACCTCAAGTGGTCCGCCCGCCTCAAACGGGATACAGGTGCAGAATGTGCAGGTTTGTTACATAGGTGTACATGTGCCATGGTGGTTTGATGCTCCTATTGACTCATCCTCTAAGTTCCCTTCCCTCACCATCCAACCCTCAACAGGCCCTGGTGTGTGTTGTTCCCCTGTCTGTGTCCATGTGTTCTTATTGTTCAACTCCCACTTATGAGTAAGAACATGTGGTATTTGATATTCTGTTCCTGTGTTAGTTTGCTGAGGATGATGGCTTCCAGCTGCATCCGTGTCCGTGCAAAGGACATTATCTCATTGGCTGCATAGTACTATGACTGCATAGTATTCCATGGTGTATGTGTACTACATTTTCTTCATCCAGTCTGTTATTGATTGGCATTTGGGTTGGTTCCATGTCTTTGTTATTGTAAACAGTGCTTCAGTAAACATACATGTGCATGTATCTTTATAGTAGAATGATTTAGATTCCTTTGGGTATATACCCAGTAATGAGATTGTGGGGTCAAATGGTATTTTTGATTCTAGATCCTTGAGGAATAGCCATGCTAACTTCCACAATGGTTGAATTAATTCACATTCCCACCAACAGTGTAAAAGTGTTCCTATTTCTTCACAGCCTTGCCAGCATCTATTGTTTCCTGACTTTTTAATAATCACCATTCTGACTGGCATGAGATGGTATCTCATTGTGGTTTTGATTTGCATTTCTCTGATGATCAGTGATGTTGAGCTTTTTTTCATATGTTTGTTGGGATGGCTCTTATTATTTTGAGGTAAGTCTCTTTGATGCTTAGTTTGTTGAGGGTTTTTAATGTGAAGGGATGTTGAATTTTCTTAAGAGTCTTTGCTGTGTCTATTGAGATAATCTTGTGGTTTTTGTTTTTATTTCTGTTTATGTGATGCCTCAAACGTATTAATTTGCATATTTTGGACCAACTTTGCAACCCAGGAATAAAGCCTACTTGATTGTTGTGGACTAGCTTTTTGATGTGTTGCTGTATTAGGTTCACTAGTATTTCATTGACAATTTTTGCATATATATTTATCAGGGATATTGGCCTGAAGTTTTCTTTATTTGTTGTGTTTCTGCCAGATTTTGGCATCAGAATGATGGATGCTGGCTTCAAAAAATGAGTTATAGAAAAGCCCCTCCTCCTTGATTTTTTGGAATTATTTCAGTAAGATTGGCACCAGCTCTTCTTACATGTATAGTAAAATTCGACTGTAATTCATTCTGGTCCAGGGCTTTTTCTGGTTGGTAGTGTTTTAGTAACAATTCAATTTTGGAACTTGTTATTGATCTGTTTATGGTTTCAATTGCTTCCTGATATAATCTTTGGAGGTGTTATGCTTCCCGAAATTTATGCATTTCTTCTAGATTTTCCAGTTTGTGTGTGTAGAGGTGATAATGATAGTCTCTGAGGAATTATTGTGTATCTGTGGGGTGGTGGTAATGTCCCCATTGTCATTTCTGACTGTGTTTATTTGAATCTTCTCTCTTTGTTAGTCTAGCTAGCAGTCTATCAATTTTATTTATTCTGTCAAGGAACCAACTTGTGATTTTGTTGATCTTTTGTGTGTTTCTTTGCATCTCAATTTCATTCAGTTAAGCCGTGATTTTGGTTATTTTTTCTTCTGCTAGCTCTGGAGTTGGTTTGCTCTTGTTTTTCTAGTTTCTCTAGGTGTGATGTTAGGTTGTTAATTTGAGATATTTCTAACTTTTTGACGTGGGTGTTTAGCACTATAAGCTTTCCTCTTAATACTCCTTTAGCTGTGTCCCAGAGATTCTGGTATATCGTATCTTTGTTTTCATTAGTTTCAAAAAAATTCTTGATTTCTGCCTGTATTTCATTATTTACCCAAAAGTCATTCAGGAGAAGGTTGTCTACTTTCCTTACAATTGCATGGTTTTGATGGATTGTCTTCATATTGGTTTCTACTTTTATTGTACTGTGATTCATGAGTGTACATGGTATAATTTCAGTTTTTGTTTAATTTGTTGAGAATTGCTTTATGTTTGAGTGTGTGGTCGATTTTAGAGTGTGTGCCATGTGCACATGAGAAGAGTATGTATTCTGCTGTTGTTGGGTAGAATGTTCTCCAGATGTCTGCTCAGTCTATTTGGTTAGGTGTCAAGTTTAGGTTCCAAATATCTTTGTTAGTTTTCTGCATCGAAGATCTGTCTAGTACTGTTAGTGGGGTGTTGAAGTCTCTCACTATTGTCATGTGATTATCTAAGTCTCTTTGTAGGTCTCTAAGGCCTTGTTTTATGAATCTAGGTGCTTCTGTCTTGGGTGTGTATATATTTAGGATAGTTGTCTTCTTGTTAAATTCAACCTTTTATCATTATTTAATGCCCTTCTCTGTTCTTTTTGATAATTGTTTATTTAAATTCTGTTTTGTCTAAAGCAAGATTAGCAACCCCTGGTCTTTTTTCTTTTCCATTTGTTTGATAGATATTTCTCCCTCCCTTTTCTTTGAGCCTATGAGTTTCATTGCATGCAAGATGGGTCTCATGTAGGTAGCATACAGTTAGGTCTTGCTTCTTTATGCAATTTGTAATTCTTTGCATTTTAAATGAGGCATTTAGCCTGTTTACGTTCAAGGTTAATATTGATATATGTAGATTTGATCCTGTCATTGTGGTGTTAGCTGGTTGTTATGTAGGCTTGATTGTATAGCTGCTTTCTAGTGTCAATGGTCTATGTATTTAAGTGTGCTTTTGTAGTATCTGGTAACAGTCTTTCATTTCCATGTTTAGCATTCCATTAAGGACCTCTTGGAAGGCAGGTCTGGTGGTAATAAATTCTCTTAGCAATTTTGCCTGAAAAATATTTTATATCTTCTTCACTTATAAAGCTTAGTTTGTCTGTATGTGAAATTCTTAGTTGGAATTTCTTTTCTTTAAGGCTGTTGAATACAAGCCCCTAATCTCTTCTGGCTTGTAGGGTTTCTGCTGAAAGGTCTACAGTTAGCCTGATGAGGTTCCCTTTGTAACTGCCCTTTCTCTCTAGCTGCCTTTAATATTTTTTCTTTCACATAGACCTTGGAGAATCTGATGACTGTGTGTCTTGGGGATGGTTGTCTTATATACTATCTTGCAGGGGTTCTCTGAATTTCCCAAATTTAAATGTTGACCTCTCCAGTGAGGTTAGGGAAATTTTCATGGACAATATCATCAAATATGTTTTCCAAGTTACTTGCTCCCTCTCCCTCTCTTTCAGGAATGCCAGAGAGCTATAGGTTTGGTGTCTTTACATAATCCCATATTTTCTCCAGATTTTGTTCATTTTTTAAATTCTTTTTCTTTATTTTTGTCTGATTGGGTTCACTGAAATAACCAGTCATCAATCTCTGAGATTTTTTCCTAAAATTCTGCCATACTATTCTGCCATTAATACTTCTGATTATATTATGAAATTGCTATAGTGAGTTTCCCAGCTCTATCATATCAATTTGGTTATTTCTTAAAATGGCTGTTTCATCTTTCAGCTGTTAAATTATTTTACTGGATTCCTTAGATTCCTTGGACTGAGTTTCAATTTTCTCCTGAATTTCAATGATCTCTGTTGCTATCCAGATTCTGAACTGTGTATCTGTCATTTCAGTCATTTCCATTTGGTTAAGAACCATTGCTAGAAAAGTAGTGTGGTCATTTAGAGGTCATTTGCCTTTTCAAATTTCCAGAGTTCTTGCACTGATTCCTTCTCAACTGTTTTGGCTGATATTCCTTTAATCTTTGAAGTTGCTGTCCTTTGGATGAGGCTTTTTGCTCTTACATTCTTTGAAGCCCTTGATATAAGTTGTGTTTAGTTGACTGGCTTCATTTCTGAATGACTTCAGGGTGCCAGGGTTCAGCTCAGCACTCCTGGGCTGTGTGCTATAACCTTGGTAGGTGGGACCATGTGCAAAGCTTTGCTCTCTGGCCGCTACTGTACTGGAGAGGCTGAGATGTTCCTCATATACTGGCAACAACACTCTGATGGGAGGCGGGGCAAAAGCACTTCATCGTAGCAGTGGTGGTGGTAAGGTTTGCACACATGCATGCTTGCAAAGCAGTCATGGGAGACTGCAAGTATGTTCACATTGGTAGGGGCCCATCTGCAAAAGCTCTCCTATGGCTAGACAGAATCTGCCAGTGAAGGAGGTATGGCAGTGACCACTGGGGAAGCACCCTGGTTGGGCATGTGAGGCTGTGCTGCAAGCCAGGCAGGAAACCTGAGAGAGGCCAGCAGACAGGGATGTGCTGAGATCACACTGGCCCCGTCCCATGGGTAAGATAGCCCTGTTCTGTTTAGGTTCAACAGTCAACAAAGGCCAATGCCACCTAGAGGAGCTTGGCGAGCCTTGGGGAATGGATGTCCCTGGCTCTATTTCACTGCAACTCTTCCTGCACCAAACCCTCTTGGCTTTGCACAGGCGAGAGTCCTGTCCCTGCCAACTCTCCAAGCATCTCGGCCTACTAGCTCAAATGTCTATAGGGGTTGTGGGGTGTCCTGCAGCTATGTCCATAGTAAGAATGGGCCATTGCACTCCTATTTAACTCACCTCTTCCCCAGGAGCTACTCAGGGCCTGGAATGAGTCCTGGTGCTCAGCAACCCCGTGCAGGCTTCCCAGAATCCTCCCTCTAGCCCAGGCTCAGCATCCTACCTCCATTCACTCTCAATGCCTTTCTTCTGAAGATCTGCTCAGAGTGTTCCAATCTTCTTGATGGTCTTGTCTCTTAATGGGAGAAGCTCTTCCTGGCTGTGTCTAGTTGCCCATCTTGAGCCCCTCTCTCTGGTTGTTTACTAGCTGAATAACTCTGGTAATTTACCTACCCTCTCTGAACCTCTGAAAAAAATAGGGATAATAATATTTACTTTGCAATGTCCTTGTAAGAATTAGAAATAATGATGTGGCACATGGCAAGAACCCAATAAGCAGCTTGTGAGAACAGCAATAAGCAATATCCAGTGTGGTAAATGGAAGTGGCAGGTGCTTAATGAGTGGATACTATTTTTGTTAGTTCATTTACAGCATGGAACTGATTATGAGGATTATTTTTGTACCTGGTGAAAGTGCATCATGTTCTGATCAGAGTTTCCCCAATCAAAAGCTTGGAGCTGACCAGAATTAACAGCCTAAAATAAAATAAACACATTAAAATAATATAAGAAAATAGTGTACATTTAAAGACAGTACAGAAGAAATATACAAAGAAGATTAACATTATGCCCCACTCTTTAGAAACATAAGCTAAATTTCAATAAAGATTAAGAAAATAAGTAATAAAAAATGATAACTGTTACCGTAATTCACAGAATTGGTACAATCTTTTACTTGTTCCTGTATCTTTCCAATGAAAATCATCAGATTTTTTCATTTAAATCCAATGCCTTTAAATGTTATCATGCTACACACAGAAATATTTTTTAAAGATGCAGAATTGAATGATTCTTGAATATCTTTGCTTCAGGAATTTTAATAATTTTTTAAAGGCATCAACTACAAATTTCTTAAATTTAAAAATTACTGCTATTGTTATTATACAACTTTGTACTTTGTCCTCAGGATGTGGTCTAAGCTGTTATGATTATATTCCCTATCCTTAAACATTGTTTTCACTATTAAAAGAAATATTCACCCACTGAGCTTCCCCAGTTCTGTGTGAGGTACATGGCTGCTGTCTGCCTCCCATATGCCAGGGCAAGCCACCTGCTGTGATGTGCATAACGTAGCCATGGGCTGACTGAGACACTGTGCATGACTCCTTTTGCATTTTGGTATTGAAACTTCAAATATTAGAATATAAGGACATTCATACATACAGCATTTCATTTTTCTGTTATTTGCCACCCACGAAGGATTGATGAGGCAGATAACTTTGACATTTATGTCAAGCACTTCCTTAAATTATTCTCAGACTCTTCTGTGTTTTTCTTTCTTAGCTTGAATCTCAGATATTTTTCCCACTTACTAATTTAGTCCTGATTTTTAGTTTAAAATTATTCCCATCATGATTTTTATTCAGAGAGGCAGCAGTCTGCTGCTGTTGAAATTCTGCAAGCTTTTAGAAATGGGAGGCAATAGGATGTAGTACTTAGGAACTTGGGCTCTAGGATCAAATCTGGTGATTTGGTTTGGCTCTGTGTCCCCACCCAAATCTCATCTCTAATTGTAACCCCCCACGTGTCAGAGGAGGGGCCTAGTGGGGGTGTCCCCACCCAAATCTCATCTCTAATTGTAACCCCCACGTGTCAGGGAGGGGCCTAGTAGGAGGTGACTGAATCATGGGGGCAGGATTCCCCTTTGTTGTTCTCGTGATACCGAGTGAGTTCTTACAAGATCTGGTTGTTTGAAAGTGTGTGGCACCTCCCGCTTTGTGCTGTCTGTCTCCTGCACCGCCATGGTAAGATGTGCTTGCTTCCTCTTTGCTTTCCGCGGTGATAGTAAGTTTCCTGAGGCCTCCTAGCCATGCTTCCTGTACAACCTGTGGAGCTGTGAGTCTATCAAACCTCTTGTCTTCATAAATTACCCAGTCTCAGGTAGTTCTTTATAGCAGTGTGAAAGACACTAATACAACTTGTTTGTATCCAGGCTTAATAGACTACTGAATCTGTGATTCAAAGCAAGATATTTGTGAAATGAGAATGATAGTAACACTATTTCTTAGGATTGTGAAGATTATGGTAACATCTATAAAGCATGTAGCACCTACTAATACCCAACAAACGGCTTTTTTTCACTAGGATTACTACCATCATCATGATCATCACTTTTGCCTTAGCTGCCTATGTAACTTATAACCAAATATTTACCATGCCCCCACCATCCCCACTTATTTCTATCCTGAAGAGGACTCTCTGTCAAAGGGGAAAAGTTATTCTTAAGTGAAGTCAATTGTAAAATGTATAAGGAATAGGCAGCCATACGCAGTGCTCACGCCTATAATCCCAGCACTCTGGGAGGCTGAGGTGGGAAGACTGCTTGAGTCCAGGAGTCGAAGACCAGCCTAAGCAACAAAACAAGACCTCATCTTTGTACAAAGAATCAAAAGTTATCCGGGCATGGTGGTGCATGCCTATGGTGCCAGCTACTCAGGAAGCTGAGATGGGAGGATTGCTTAAACCCAGCATGTCAAGGCTACAGTGAGCCATGATTGTACCACTGTACTCCAGCCTGGGTAAAATGATAGTACCACTGTATGCTTTTTTTGAGACCCTATCTCAAAAAATAAATAAATAACATGCTATGATATTTGTAGAGTGGGAGGATATCAATGCCTTTACTAAAAAGTTGTCATAATAATTCAGTGAGACTGAATAAAATCACATGTATGAGCAGCAAGAAGAGCATATATTAAGTGCTCAATAACTGTGAAATTAAACATGTACTACCTGGAAGGCCATGCTCATAAGAGGACTTATCTGTCTCCTCATCAGCAGGAAGCCCTATATCCTGAACATCTTTCTTCTTAAAGGAACTTGAAGCCTTATATCCTGGAGGTCAAACTCTTCCAAGTATTTCAGAAATTCTCACCTAGTATTTCAGGCTATCTATAGTACTGATTGTCTAAAACAGGGAGCAAATTTGTTAGGGTATATATTAAAATACAAATTCAGGGGGGGGTCTCAGATATATTAAAACTTTAAGAAGACACCAACCCTCTCCCCGTCATAGAATTATTTATATTTTGTTCACTTTTCAAAAGGCGTTGTGACTGCCATCAGCCAAGAATAAAGGCAAATATTACATAATAAACAAACGAATGTGCGTGCACATGTGTGTGCATGCACACACAAAGACACACACACACAAGGCTCAGAAAGTCAGACCAATTGAATTAGACTTATCTCTGAGCTTTCTGTATATTGAGTAATAAAATAAAACAAATAAAACTTTAACTGAGGGTAAAAACATAAGCCATAAATCCATTTTAATTCTTCCCTAGCTTTCAATTTGCTCTGAATAAAGCATCGTTTCCACATTCTCAAATGCCCCATATATTGATTGGAGGATGAACAGCTCTTTCTGGAATAAGATGCATCATTTCATATAAAGTTCTATTAGAGCTGATGACTTTCTGAAAGAGGAAATAAAAGCCTTCCCTTGAAATGCAGTTTGGAATCATCTAAGGATCAGAACTCAGTCAGAATATCTGAGAACCATGCTCAAAACCCAGACACTGAGGACAAGGAGAAGAAGTGGGAATGAAGTAAATAAAAATGAAGAGTTGATGCTGATTCCAAAAACATCAATGTGACAGTGGCAGGTGCCTGCAGAACCCTGCAGTGAGCTCTCTGAGAGCACTCCTTGAGGGTCTTGCAGAGGTATGTGTGCATCACGCAGGAATAAGACAGAGGTATGTGTGCATCACGCAGGAATAAGACAGAGGTATGTGTGCATCATTGAGAAGACAAGGAGGAAGGCGGCACTGAAGTAATAAAAACAGCAAGAGTTGACGCTGACCTAAAAACATCAATGTGATAGTAGGTGCCTTGTGAACTCCCGGGTGGTGAAACTTGAGGAGCACCCGGTATGTGTGCATCACGCAGGAATAAGACAGAGGTATGTGTGCATCAAGCAGGAATAAGAAGCACGTACCTGGGCCCAGTGCAGCATATTCTGAACAGATGTTCCCGCAGGGTTGTGTGACAAGTAAACATCCAAGCGACTCTGCAAAGAGATGACTTCTCATTTAAAGGCTAATCATATCATCATACCACAAGTAAACATTTGAGAGAAATTTAAAAAGTTTCTTCTTTTCCTCTTTTCCCTTTCTTTATTTCTTTTTTTATTTTTATTTTTGAGATGGGGTCTCACTCTGTTGCCCAGGCTGGAGTGCAGTGGTGCGATCTTGGCTCACTGCAGGCTCCACCTCCTGGGTTCCATTCTCCTGCCTCAACCTCCTGAGTAGCTGGGACTACAGGCGTGCACCACCACGCCCAGCTAATTTTGTTTTTGTATTTTTAGTAGAGACGGGGTTTCACCATGTCAGCCAGGATAGTCTTGATCTCCTTTTGGCCTCCCCAAAGTGCTGGGATTACAGGCGTGAGCCACCGCGCCCAGCCTCTTTTCCCTTTCTTTAAGGAAAAAACATGTACCATATAATCTGAAGACATATTAACCAAAGAAGCCCATCTTAGAAGAACTTTTTCCTCCACCGACTCTGTCCTGTCCTCAAACCTACAGGGGGATTCCCACTGGGCAAAGACAAAAGGACATCTTTTTCCAGACTCAACTCCCATAAGTTCAAGGGTATAGGAGATTAAAGGATAAAAACCCCAGTGATCTTCTCCTTCACCCCATGTTAAGTCCCAAAGGACATTCAAAGAGAGCTGTTGACCCTAAGGCGCTAATAATAGATCTGAATGTTACCTTTTGTTTTCTGAATTTTAAAATGTGGTAAATATTCTACAGGACTCTGAAAGTTTGTGTGGCAGAATTAATTCAGTCGGTTTATTTAGATATCTTATGGATAAACAACTACACACACACACAAGAACAAAAACAAAACACACACACAAACTCTTGATTCTCTCATATTTTCAACTGCATTGTTTTTAAAATAAAAAGAGTTATTTTCAACCAAAGTAAGCGTCAGAAACATCTTAGGGCTTTAAAAATATTTTAACCTACTCATTAAGCTATCCAAATGTACTGAATACAAATCAAAATCTCAAAGGTTGAGTTCTGGACATGTGTATTTTTCCAAAGTTCCACCAATATTACTTATGCACCCCTGGTTATGGTTCTTTGAAACAAATGTCTGTGAAGGTGCTGTAATATTCTGTAAGCCTTGCTTTTTGGCAGAAAGACAAAAGGTGATCTTTAAAAAGGTGTCCATATGGACAGCAAGGGCCAAAGAATAGTCAAGGGTGTTATTTTGTGATGTCTTTCTTTACCAAACTCTTAGGATATGCTGAGAGGGTGCTTTTAAAATACATTCTTTTGTGTTTGTTTCAAGGTCTTTTTACTCAGCTCTATCTACATGATATGCTTTCACCTATATATATCCTTGCATCTAAGTGATAGGCAAGCATAGTTTCCACTGTACATTGAGAAAGTGAGAGAGGAATGTAGAAAGGCAGTGGCTAAGACATGTTTTGCATAAAAAGTCTTTTATAAATCTTTCTTGAAAGCAAGAAAAATTTTAAGCAGTGCTTTCCACTGACTGGAAGATTAGGCTCTGGGCAGAAGTCTGTGAGAGAGGCGGAGACCAACTTCAGCCTGATCCTACCTCTGGTTTCAAACACATCTCCTCTCTTTCCCTCCTCCCTACCCCAACTCCTTGGGTCATCATGGAAAATATCTCAGTTAAGTTAGACATTACTTGACAAGAACCCTGACACTGATCCCTCTCAGTACACCTTGAACAATAAATTTGTAGCTGTTGTTGAAGAACCATCCCTCCTTTTATCCCTTTGGGTTAAGGAAGTAAGTGGTCCACAAAATAACTTTCCAAATAAACTGTGAAAGTGGAAAATTGGTAAAAATAAAAATACAAATGTCTGGACTCATCCCCTGATATTCTACTTCAGTGGATATGACAGAAGGCTCAAGCACAGCAAGATAAATATCAAACCCATTGCCTTTATCTAAGTGAAGGATGTTTCAGGTAAGAAGAGATGAGAATTGTTGGCAGTAAAGCTTTCTTCTCAAATTCTCCTGTGAAAGCAAGTGGACTCTCAACCCTCACTGGAAGCCATGAATGTACTGATGACATTCCAAAAGCAAAAAGGAAACCTTGAATTGCGGTTGCCATATACTCCAGAATGAACTTTTATCACCTCTGTGCAACAAAACAAATGTTTTCCCAGATGCAATTACTTACACTTACCATATTTAAGTTTTGCGGATCAAATCCACTCAGAGTAAATAGGAAGTTGCTGCAAATACGACGGAATAGCTTCCGACTGCACACTTTGGTGGCAATGAATTTGTCAAACAATGTATGAGGGTGGAACATTTTGTCACCAAACAACACCTACAAGATAATTTAAAACACCATCAAATCTTATAGACGTGGATATCAAAAGTGGAGAAATAGGTAGTTCAAAGAAGGACTGCACAGTATTAGGTGACATCTGCTCAGTGTTGGTCCTTAGTGAAATCATGAGGCTTGTTATTAGGTTTGTAATCCTTCCAATGCACCTCTTAATGGCTTTTCCCGAAAACCCTTAATTGGGGTGTTTTTAAGAATGCCCCTTGAGAAACTAGTTCCCACAGGAAATTTGTAAGGCTTTGGAGTGAGGCATACATGTGTTTCATTCTGGATTCAAACACATTCTATACCTTAGGAGAGTTTTAAATTTCTATTATTATAAATTTTCTCATCTATAAAGTGGAAAAATGTTCTTATAGGCAGGGCTGTTGTAAAGTTAGTAGGTCATGTTTAAAAGACAATTAGTGCAGTTCCTAGCATCTAGTACACATGAAAATATTATTTAATTAAAATATAAATTAATATAATTATTATTACTGTCATAATTAGTGACTCATACAGACTTGAGCCATTCCTTCTGGAATCCTTTAACGAATTCTTTCTATAGACAAAAGCTTAACCCACATAAATGAATCTTTACTAGTGGAATTTCAGGCAGTATTGCCAGTGAGTTCCTTTGCTTCACAGCTACTAGTTTTATAGTCTTAGCATAATAAACTAGATATAAAGTTAAAAAGATTTTTTAGTTTTTAAAACTTTGGAAACACCCATTTACAGTAAAAATAAACACACATTTCTTCTGGAATTCTTTATTAACCAGATATTACAACTAAAGAACAGTAATAACTAGCATTTATTCACTTAAAATCTAATTCACTTTAAGATCTTATACTATATCTAGAAAACTAGATCAAGTAAATTCCTACTGATCATAGCTTATTAAATTCTGAGTTTAAAAATGATTGTCTTATATAGGCAGATATAATCTTTATTTAATGGAATATTTGATATTCCATGGAATATTAATGGAATATATGAAGTACCAAGATTTCATACTCCGCTTCATGCCCAGGAGAGGAAGAGATGGATAGAGGCAGGGAAAGAGGAAGGGAAGGAGGGAGAGGGAGAGAAGATGGAGGAGGAAGAAGAGGAGGAGGAAGAAGAAAAAGGGAAGGGAAAGGAAGGACAACAATATATTAAACTACTTCAAACCACACTTCTCAATTCTTTAGGTCTGAAAAGTAATAATAAGCCTTATACATATTATCTAATTGATTCCAGACTCTTCTTCATTTTATCACAATCACTAGGACACTTAGATAATACCCTAGATAATTAATTTAACTTGCCAAATTGTAATTCTTCCTGTGTAAATGTCCCCATAATAATTTAATAATAGTAGCAGCATACACTCATAAAAGGAGCGTATCTTTTAAAATAATGTTGACATTTACTTCATGTTTTCAAGTGTGACAATTTAAATAGATTGTCAAATGAATAAATAAAGTAAAAGGCAGGATCTGACTTTAACCAGTAAACAAATTTATTTTTATTTATCAATAACTTAGTCATCCATGCTTGGCAAAACAAATCCATGTGAAAGAAAATAGCCAGTTCATAAAAGTAATCAACAATGAAAATGCAGTGTTAAGAAACAGGTGACATCTACCGTCATGGATTCTTGATCCTCTGTTCTGAAACCTGGAGTTGGCTTTCCCAAATACGGAGTAAATTAGCAGGACATTCTCTGACTCCACTCTACCTCAATATCCCGTGACTCAGCAAAATGACTATACATTTACCCAAAGGTGAATAATTTCTCCTTTACCCTAACCTAAAAGAGAGGATATTAATGAGGCCAACCAGTAGGAGAGCACCCATGTATAGAGTAGCAAACATGCCAACTTGTAGATGTAATTCCAAGTTGGCTCTGGAGGAGGCATGTTTGTCACATAACAGCAGGGAGCCAGTCTCCTTCTAGTGGCTCTTTTGGTATGTGTGAGAATTAGAAAAGGCACCTCTCTTTATGACAACATGGCCCCATGCCAGGGCACATGGCTTGCTAAGCAGATCATGGGCTCGATTCAGCCCTCAACAGCCCACTGAGCTGGTCACCCTTGTTCACTAGCTTCTTCAGGTTGGCACTGAAAAAGTGGAAAAACTACCACATATAAAAAAGACCATTGGTTGGGTTGCCTGGTCACATCTGGGTTCAAATTCTGGTTCTGCCATCCATTAGCTGGGCGACTTGGGACAGGCTGCTTAGCCTCTCTGAGCCTCAAGTTCTTCTTTTAAGAAATGGAGACAGTACTAACAATCTTTAATGTCGTAGAGACATGTCAAAAGCAAAGGATCAAAGCAATCTATAAGTCAGAAGGAAAGTAGAATGACAAGAACACAAAGGCATAAATGTCCAGGGGCAAAATGGGATGTGAGGAAGGGGAAATGGATGAATGAATTTCTCAACTTGACAGACTCTACTCATTCTATCAATGTGAAAATTGAGGCTCAGCATGGTTAAACAACTTGTCCAAGGTTACAATTGGCAGGAGACGGAGGCAGAATGTGAACCCAGTTTTGTCTGACTTAAATCTTTATCCTCTATACTCAATTCAATTCAACTCTCATGAATTGAGTTGAATGTAATAGAAATGGAGCAATTGAAAATACTGGCAGCATCAATGAAAAAGGAAGTGCTAATCAGAGAGAGAAAAAAGGTTGTCTCAGTCCAGAAGCTCCCATATAAAAGGAACCCTTTCACCAAGCATGCCTGCGAGCATCTGGCTGATGGGAGAGGAGAGGAGAAAGAAAGCCCCTTCCTCAAAAAGTCAAAAACATACCTAAACGTTGTCTGTCATTTCATTGTCATATCTTATAGATTATTTTTTGTTGCACAACTCTTGTTCCAATCCCCAGTATCTATCAACTGATGTGTTAACAATAACTCCATCATTATTCTCCTAATCTTTCACCCTTCTTGATGTCCTTTACCCCCATCTGCTTACATTTGGTTCCCAGGGAAATCTTTCTAAAAAGGGGCATTACGCATGTCATTCCTCTGTGCAAATATTTCCATGCTCCCCAATTACCTATAGAATACATTCCAAACTCATTAATTTGGCACTCAAATCCCTTTATAATCTGCCTCTACATTTCCAACATGATTTCTCATACTCTCCTTTACTAATACTAATATAAAACTCCAGTAAAGTGAGTTATGTGTGGTTTTCCATGACCTGAGCTTCACCACTTCAGTGTTGCTCATGTTTCCCTCTTGCTTTGGAAAGCCTTTCTATACCACACTCTATATTGAAATGTTATCCTTAAGTGCACACTAAAATGCCATCTTATCCAAAAAGTCTGTTGTGATTCCAACAGCTAGAAGTATTTTTGCTTTTCTCTGAGTTTACCTAGCAAAGTTTTTGCTCTATCATTATAATACTGGAATTTCTACTAGGAATTAGTAGGTCATATGTGGCAGTTCTTCTGTTGGTACTATAGTTACTCTATTGGAGTTATAATTTAGAAAGGGCTGAGAATGACATTTTCCAGCTGCATCCATGTCCCTACAGAAAACCAAACACCACACGTTCTCACTCATAGGTGGGAATTGAACAATGAGAACAATTGGACAGAGGAAGGGGAACATCACACACCAGGGCCTGTTGTGGGGTTTGGGGAGCGGGGAGGGATAGCATTAGGAGACATACCTAATGTAAATGATGAGTTAATGGGTGCAGCATACCAACATGGCACATGTATACATATGTAACAAACCTGCACGTTGTGCATATGTACCCTAGAACTTAAAGTATAATAAAAAATAAATAAATAAAACAATAATTTTGAAAGGGCAATCTTTCTAAAATTACAAATTTGATCAAGCCACTTTTCTATTTAATATTCTTCAATGGCCTCCCATCATTAACAGAACAAAGTCTAAACTCCTAGACATGACACTGCTTTCTTCCATTGTCTCCTAATACCTCCTTAGTTGAATCCCATTCTACTCTCACATACACCCTAGTTTTTACTCATACCAATGAGCTGAAAAGTTTCCTTGTAGACATAGCTGTTTCCTAATGCCAGGGCCTTGAAATAGTAGCTCCTAGATATCTTTTGGCTGAATTAACTTGTACACCACATCCTACACACGTCAGGGAATGCGGTAAGTTTAAAGACAGCTGTGCAAATGAAGAGGAATGGAAAGATCCCACTGTCCTAAAATATCTCTTAATTGTGTGGGAATACTGAAATAATTTAGCAAACAGTCTGACATTGTTTACTTAATAGCAGGAGCAGGCCAGAGTGAAGTCTCAATGGTATAAAAGGCCCAGGTACCAACAGGCAATGTAAGCATGCTTTGTTATTTTCAGTTGTTTTTCCTGCTACCCATCTTTCTGGGATGTATAGATAGGCACTTCAATCACCATAGACTAATTTGCTTAACTCTCAACAGGAATCTTCTGTAAATCTTTGGGCTTCTATCAGAATTGTTTCACTTTCATCTGCTTTCATTGAAATCACTGAACTGTACAATCACCACTATGGGAGTTATTACCATGGGAGAAGCCCATGTTAAAATACAAGAAGAAAACACACCAACCCATGCAATGCAATTCACCTGGACTAGATAAATGATCAGATTAGTTAGCTGTCAACTAGAGGAGATCAGGGGGCCCAGAGTTTTGCCTGGGTTTTCGGAATTGTCAAAATGACAGCCTGTAAAGTGTCAGGAAATGAAACAAGGTTGGGCATTTAGTGATGGAGGAGGGTACGTTCTATAAAACTAATGATAGCCAAAACAATTGTTAACATTTATTAAAGGTTTACAGTATGCAAGACATTGTTTTAAAGGATATGCTGTATTAATTCACGTCGTCCTCATGGTAGCCCTATGAGTGAGAAGTATTATTATCCCCACGTTACAGATGAAGAGCACGTAAGGTCTTGACCAGATTTACCCAGCTCGCAAATCATACAAATGAGATTCAAACCCACACCATCTGATTCCATGCTGTGAACTCAACCACTACTGCCCCTAAAAAATTAGGGATCACCAGAAAAATTTAATCCGCTAAATTCAACAAACCAATCAATCAAATAAGCTCTCTCTATCTGTAGTTGAGGAATGAGACAGGAGACATGTTTCTAGACATAGTTGAAGAAAGTAGGGTAGATTAACAACAGGGGGAGTTCCCTGAACTCTGCTAATAAGATTGCGTACATCATCAGTGAACTTACATGGATTATCTTGAATACCTATTATTTTCTCAGAAGTTTGTAAAATGTCATTGGTTTTCTGTTGACATCAGTGGAAATAAAGCTACTTTTAGTTATTTCAGATTAAAACTTGGGAAGTCACATACCTTGACTACTTGCCTGGAAAGAGTTGTTAGTTTCTTCATAGGACTTCGGGTATATTTCAGTGTGACAACTGGAGCCAGTGCAAAAAATATCTTAATCCTTTTAGCCAGTTCTGGGTTTGTAGAAAATGCTATAAAAGCTGAAATGGAAGAAGACACTAGTTCATAGTTTTCACATAATTATTTGTTCATTGTAAGTTGTAGTAAATGTAGCCATATTAAAAACAAAACAAAAAACAACATAGAATTATTACCATTTGTAGAGAAGAATTTCTTAATTTCTCAAGAGTGGAATTGGCTAATTCAGAATAAAGTGTTTCCTGTCCCTGGGGAGTGCAAGGAGAGAGGGTTCAAATATCTACTGTGGGGCATGTCTAGGTAAACTCCAAAGCCCATTCCAGCTTGACGATAGTCCTGGTATCAGACAAAACTGGGCTGTAAATTTGGCTTCCTATTTATTTCCTATTTCCTACTTCCTATTTACTTCCCTGTGTGAGTCTCGGTTTTCTCAGTCTGTAAGTGTGAATGGTAAAATCCTTATAGGATGATTTTTATAAAAGTCAAATGTATGTAAGTTATATGCATTTGACCTTTATAACCTTTGTGTCTGTAATCTTTATTAAATATATGAAATGTAAGATGTTACTTGGGAATATCACCATTAGAACAGATTCCTCAATTCAACCATTTGTGGAGCACGGATGATAGTGGTTTCAGATGTTTGCAGTTTCCGATGAGAGAATGTATGTAAGATGTGTGATACAGTACAGGTATGTACAGACCTGCTTTACACCAGAATCCTGATTATAATTAAGATATAGAAAACAGACTGATGGAAATCCTGTTGGTAGTGTTAAGGCCTCTAGCCAAAGGGAGAACAGTAAGGGGACAAATAGGCCTCATAACACTGCCAACATAGCCCTACCCACATCTGGCCTACTCCAATGCCTCCCTGGCAACTAAAAGTCATACTGATTGTAGCATATAATCGCTGAGTTTTGTAATGTCTGCTTTCTTTCTAGTGTCCCTCACTAGACTGTGGGTTCTTCAAGGAAAGAATGAATACCATATTTATCTCTACTTCCTCAGCATGTAACAGTGTCTGACAAATGTTTGTTGGGCGCACAAATGAATATATGAATAATTCTCCCTCTTCCAGGCTTATCTATCAACCTCCAAATTTAGTATTGAGGGAAAATTCCCTATGGTCATTCTTATTTTATTTACTCTTCAGAAATTAGCCAGAGGAAATGGTTTCCCAAGTCAAGCCCTCAAGCTAGAGATTGCACAGACAGAAGAAATACTGACCCCCTTCCATGAATATGCAAGAAGAGCCCCTGACATTCTCTGATCTCATCTGCCCCAAACACACCTATGGTGGTGCCTTGTGAGTGACCCACGTAGTAGAGTCGCTTCTGTCCTGTTTTCTCTATGATAAAACTGATTGTGGCTGGAAGGTCATATTTAGCCATCTCATCCAAACTATCAAAAAGAAAGAATAACAAATTAGAAAAGTCATCTCATTGTTAGGCCTAGAACATTTAAACACATTCAGTGAAAACATAAATACTTTGATTTTGTTACATATAGACTAGTGTCAATATATGATATTAGGCATCTATGCAACTTTAAAGGGTGCAACACCTTGATTGCAAGTCAACATTTTTAAGAAACTGAAATCAGAAAAATTTGATTTGTCGAGGCCTACTGATGCTTTTCTTGCAAGGCTAGTCATATTCACTTAATTCTATAACAGGTTTACCAAGCTCCTCTGAAAAGAGGAATTACCTGGAATGCTTATCTAAAAGAATAATAAAGCAAACAGATTTGCAGACCTCAGCCGACTGACTGAATCAGAATTTCCTGGGAAGAGACCCAGTAATCTGCATATTTAACAATGACCTCAGTTACTTCTGATCCTGTATATAGTTTAATAAATACTTACCTAGGGAATTTTCTAGTCATTTGCAAGGGTGCAATGGATTATGGTTATAGAATTAGGAAACGCCAGTGCTTTCCAGAAAGAAGGCTGGCAATGAAGCCAAGGAACACAGGGTTTTCATGACCTCCAAGGCATGGTTCTTAGCTCCTATGCCAGTGCATGGGTTTGCTCCTGTAACCAGGTAGGCATAGCTTCTGAAGCAGACAGCAACCCCTGGCGCTGCTGCTGGCAACACTGTTGCTTAGCCATTCTGTAATCAGGCTTTCTTCTTACTTCCCTTAGAACATACATACACACACTCACCCACACACAGATACCAGGAAGGAGGCAGGAATTCTAAAACAGTCATGCAATAATAATGACAGTTCTTTAGAGCCTGTGAAGAAAGTCTGGGTAGAGAAAGAAAGGTTTGTTTCCTTCTTGTGGATTCCACTGGGTGCATTTGGACACAAAAAGGGCAAGAATCACTAGGTGTTCATACATATACATGAGCAGAGTACACACTGTATTTGTTAATAGGTTTCTCCTTACCTGAAGGCCCAGTATTCTGGTGATTCGGGCGACAATTTAAGGTGTTTTCTGGACCAAGTGTTTCCTCGGCTGTTCCCCAACCACACATCATAGCCACTATCTGCCAGAAGGAAAGCCAGGCTGTTGTTGGGCAGGTTGCAAATCCAGTTACTGGCAGATGCAATTAAGCCATGCTGCAAATACACAGCAGGCTTTGGAGCTGCAAAACACAGGCAACAAGAATTTCATGTCTGAACTTCCTCAGTGCCTACAAGAAAAATCTCATTCCTGAATTTCTGTAGTATAGAAGAGAGGTTAAGAGGTAAAATTTGATGCCAGGCAAATCTGGGATCTAGTCCCTTCTGAGCTACTTACTTGGGTAAGTTATTTAAGTTCTCTCGGTCTTATTTTCTCATTTGTAAAGGGTTATATATAATGTATTGCATTATTTACGTGTGGAAGTTAGATTGCCCTAGTTCAAAATCCATTCTGATATGCATGAACTCCTTTGTGCCTCAGTTAACCTATCTGTATAATGGGAAATAATAACAAATGCTATCTCCTCGTGTATTTATAAGAATTCATTGAGAACTTAAACATATAAAAGGCCATCTGGCACAGTAAATATTAGCTCTATTACTGTTATTTATATTAATAGCATTATATTTTTCAAGACTCATCTGATTAAAAATTTAAATTTTTTTCAAAATAATAAAAAATAATAAAAATGCCATTTGTTGAATGCTCACTGAATGTCAAGCACTATGCTAATTTTTATAGGCACTGCTTCATTTCATTTGAATTGTTAGAAAGCAAAAAACAAGGATATAAGTAGAACTTTATAGTTTAAAATTGTTAATATGATACAAAAATCCTATTCCCTCTGTCAAATAGGGACATTTTAACTAAGAAAGAGAAAGGAAAAAGAAGGAAGTGAGAAAGTGTTGCAAAAGAGAGAAGAGAGGGAAGAAGTGATTAGGCTTTTCCTCTGCTTTATAAATGGTTTGTGATGCTGTGTTGGTATCTCAGGACCCTACCTCAGGTCACTTTTGGAGCTAGAGTGGCTTCCTGAGAGTAAGTTGTACTCTCAGAGAGCCTTCAGCCACCAGGACCAAGGAACTAAGAGTCTATGTCCATTTTTCCACCTTTTGGAATAGAGGGAAAGAAGAGGTGTTACTGACTTTGCCAAAGTTAAGTACCATGAAATAGTTAAGTATCATCAGGCCTCTGTGATCTGAGTCTGAGACAGATCCAGGGATCTCAGATTAGAGAGACAGTTTCTCATTGTACAGCTTTTTGTCTCATGCATTTTGGCAACTGTGATAGAAATGACAAGAGAAGAGCTTGGAGAGTATTAAAAGTTCTCTCGAGTATTTACAAAATTATTTGTAATTATGGAGTTATTTTGGGAAATGATTGGCTCTGTAAAGCCAGCAACACCATTATATCTTCCACTCTTTAAAAATCTAGTTTTTCTTTAAATAAGTAGTCTTTCTGATATTGAGAAGTTTTGTTATTCGACCTGCCAAAGTATAAAATGAACTAAGAAGAGAGAGAAGAAAACAAAAGCAAATAGTTTCTGGAGAATGAAATGCTCACTTTTTTCCACCTATGGGTAGCCACCTGCATTGTAGGGAGCTAGAATTGACCCTTTAATGAAGTTTAAGCACAGAACTGATAGGAATGAATAGGGTCTTTTTTTTGCAGAGATTCCTGAGGATACCTGAGGCTCTATTTTAGAAAAAAACAACAAAAAAAATAGAATTGGTTTTTTAATTGGAGGCAAGGGCAAGTGGTGTACTCTAGGCAGTAAACTATCCCTCTAGGCTGAGAGCTAGGGCTGAGCGTCAGGTGGGTCTCCAGTTGCCCATGCTCCCCTGCACAGCTGCCTCCCCAGCAGGATGTGGGGCAGCCACAGGAAGGGTAAGCTGAGAAGTGCTGCTGTGGACATTCACTTGGGCAGGACATCAGAGGACTCAGATACCAGCTTCCCAATACTGGTCTCAGTCTTCTTCACAACTATGGCCCTGCAGGAGCTGGTGCGGCTGAAACAGCCAGAGCCCCCGCCAAAGCCAAAGCTGGACTGAAAGGAGTCCAGGCCATAGCTGAGGCCAGAGCTTGTGAGGCCGAGCCCAGTCCACCGGGTTAGCCACTGCTGGTACTCCTATGGATACACCTGCTCTGCGTCCCAGACTCCAGCGGGCTCTCCTTGCCCTCCAGCAGCTTCCTGTAGGTGGCGCTCTCGATGCTCAAGGCCAGCTTGACATTCATCAGCTCCAGGTTCCGGTGAAGCTACGGCGCCCGGTCCTGTTTGATCCGTTGCAGAGCGGCCTCCAGCTCTGCAGGCTCAGCGTTGAGTCCTTAAGGGCAAACTCCCCACGCTGCTCCGCATTCTCTGGCCTTTGAGGCCTTCAGTCTCATCCTGGAATCGGCTGATGTTTCAGTTCATCTGGAAGATCCTCTTCTTGCGATACAGCTCATTTTCAGCCTTCCCAGCCAGGGCCTGCAGTTCCTCATACTCGATCTGGTGGTGCATGCTGTCAGACTTGGCCCAGCTGCGGCTGGCGATCTCCTGGTACTGGGCGGATACCTCGAGATGATGCCGTCCATGTCCAGGACTCGGCTATTGTCCATGGACAGGCCCACAGATGTGACCGAGATCTGGGACTGCAGCTCACGGATCTTCTATTCTCCTGGGGCAGCCCTTCTAGGCGAGACTACTTGTTCTGCGTTGTTGATGTAAGCTTTATCCACATCCTTCTTGATGAGGAAAATTCATTCTCCATCTCTGTATGCTTGTTGATCTCATCCTGGTACTTTTGAAGTCCTCCACCAGCCCCTGCATGTTGCCAAGCTCCACGTCCAGCTTCAGCATCTGGTCCCATGTGTCCAGCTGCCGCAGAAGGTGGTTGATGCAGCTCTCCATGTTGTCCACGTTGATCCCAGCTGACTTCTGCTGCTGTAGGCTCCGCATGGTCTCCAGCATCTTGATCTGCTGCTCCAGGAACCACACTTTGTCAATGAAGGAGGCAAAGTTGTTCAGGGTCTTGATCTGCTGCTTCTCCTGGGTGTTCACAGCATGGATGTTGGGATCCACCACCAGTTTTAGGGAACTCAGCAGACTCCAGGTCACAATGATAACTGTGATGCCTCCCATACCACCAGCCCCAGCATAGACCTCACCCAGACCCATACTGGTGTCCAGGCCACCCAGAAAGCTGCTGCCCACCTGAAAGAAGCTCAAGGAACTGATACAAGCACTGGGTATGCTCCTGTACCAACAGCTGCTGAAGGCGGACTTCTAGGTCTCCCTGATGGACATGGTGGAGGCTGGAGTGAAGGCAGGTAGGCTCAACTAGATGGTGATTTGACAAGCTGGGAAGCTGTTGCTAGGTGGGAGCTAATAGGGTAATATTTACTTTAAACCATGAAATCACACAGACTTGGGTCCAGAACTGACTACAGATAGTTTAATACCAGTGAGAAGACATCGTAGTAGTTGAAGACATTATGTCCAAACCTGGGTTTGAATGATTACTGAAGCGAAGGTTTTCAGACTAGAGAGAAATTTAGAAGGCAAAATTGATAGATGGCAATGTTAGGTTGCATGTAGAAGGTGAGGGAGAAGGTGGTATCAAGAATAACCCCCTAGTTTTCTGATTTTCAAAACAGGACAGTGGTATCACTAGGGTAAGAATACGATGTGTTTGGTGTTTGCTTGGTAGGAAGACAAAGTCATGAAGAGAAGGAGTGACCAAATAAACAGTGTATATAAAAGTGACTGAAAACTTCAAAGTTACACTAATTAAACAGAGGTGGAGGGTGATGATTTTTCTCCTCTAATGGAAAGGACAGCTAAGGATTTCAGAACAGAAACTGCTTGACTTCTCCCAGGACATCTAAGTACCTCTGCTTTAAGTATTGTTTTTCCTTTCATAACAAAATAAATAATACCTGTCCTCCCTAGGCATCCTCTTCCATGTGGAATCCTATAAATTCCAAGGATATAACCATCTTTTGTTGTAACATCATACTCTTCATAAGGATAACCCCAGTAAGAAATAATCTGGCTCTAAAAAGAGGAAAGGAAATATATACCTTCATTTTATAATCTCTTAATTTTTACACATGCATTACAATATAGTACTTTGTTTGTTTGTTTGTTTGAGATGGGTCTCACTTTGTTCCCCAGGCTGGAGTGCAGTGGTGTGATCTCGGCTTACTGCAGCCTTCGCCTCCTGGTCTCAAGTGATCCTCCCACCTCAGTCTTCCAAGTACCTGGAAGTACAGGCACCTGCCCCAATGCCCAGCTAAATTTTTTGTATGTTTTTATAGAGACAGGGTTTCACCATGTTGCCCAGGCTGGTCTTGAACTCCTAAATTCAAGGCATTCATTCCCCTGCCTTGGCCTCCCAAAGTGCTAGGATTATAGGTGTGAGCCTCCATGCCTGGCCACAATGTAGTACTTTAAATTGCACCTACTGCTTATCACTCTATGTGCTGTGACAGCATGTAATATTCCTATGAGTATAATTTAAAAGGGATTTCTAGGAGTTACATAAAGAGGCATAGGTAAGTCTGGGTGGGGTGACCCTACATTCTTGTTTGCTCAGGACACTTTCCGGTTTTGCCTGTTGGCCTGGTATTATTAAAGCACCCCAGTTTGTTTTGATGAAAAATTATATGGTCATCTAATGAGGGAAACCACAGGGAATTGTGGAGTACCCTGTGGCTAATAACAAGTGAACTATTACCAAACAGACTTAAAAGAAGAGGGAGGAAGCAGTTACCGGAAGCCAAAAGGAGAAAGTCAAGCTGAGATAACCAAATTGAGGAAGACAGCTTGTCTAAGTTGACTTCACAGGGAGGAAGCCAGGGCAATAAAAAATCAAACCTTACTGGCCTGTTTCTTTCCATCTTCTGCTCACAATGTCCATTGGCTGAATTGAACTGAAAACCAAAAGACAAGGTTGCTTGTTGACCTGTCCTTACAGTTCAGCCTCTTGGCAGAGAGAAAGGTGTTAAAGAGCAAAGAGTGAGCCTAGAGGGGTCAGAGAAGATACCCCACCCACAGATATACAAAGAAGAGGAGAACTAGTGATTATTGGTTATCTTCTGCGTAGAGGTTTACATTCCTTGTCTCATTAACCTTATAAGAGGTCTTTGAGATAGAATTATACCATTTACAGTTGAGAAAACTGACATTCAGGTAGATTAACAATTTGTCCAAGATTATATACTAGGAAGAGATAAAAATAAGATTAATGCTAAAGTAAGTTTAACTCCAAAGCTTATGCCTTTATCAAAGGATTATGCATTTTCCCAAGTCAGACACAGAGATACATGTATAAATTATGGGCTACATAGAGCAGTGGCGAAGAGCCCAGGCTCTGGAGACAGACTGTGACATTGTGAGGATTATATGTAATACGTGTAGAACAATGCCTAACACAAGTGCTTTATAGATGATTGTTCTTATTATCATTATAGAAGGATTAAAAGCTAAAAATCACTTATACTAGAGAGAGAAAAATTATGTGAGTTCAACAGTGTGGTATGAGATCAAGGGTACTTGCCTGATACTTTGGAGAGAGAAACAAGAAGAGATACTAATGAAAAAAAACTTTGGCAGTTTCATTATTTTTATGGTTCTAATACAACTTGCGTATGGTACAGGAAATCAATTGTGCACCGTTTATATAGGAAAATGGAGTATATTATCAGAATGAATTCTGTAGTAGATATTTGTCATTTGGCCTTTTTTTCTTTGCTTAACACTATTCCATTCCTCTTCTGATATGAATTCCTGAATGTCAAAACACTTTGGTAATAAACAAAAGAAACCAACACTGGCTTATTAAACCAAAAAAGTGCATTGGGATAGTTCACAAAATCAAAGAAACTTCTCTATGAAAAACTGCATGGAAAACTCAAAGATACTCTATAGAGATCATCTGTATTGAGTCATGAACCTTCTCTTTAGGAAGCCACCACTGGATAGTAGTTCAAACTAGGAGATGGAATATTACTGCCCCAACTTGGGTCAGATCTTTGAATTCTTAGATTAGTTAGCCATATAAAGAAACAGAAGAGGAAGCACAGATTTAGTCACTGGAGGAATTGTTGAAAACTGAGAAGGCACCCCAGTTGTATTTCAAATGCTGAAATATGAATAATTCCTCATTTTAGCATTTTTTCTTAATAAATGACTTACAATATTCATATTAGCTTCAGGGTTTGCGTTGTTTCCTTTCTTATCATAACCATACATAGATCCAAGAGGAAGCATCCAGCATGCTGCTACTAAAAGCTGCCACATTTGGGATCTGCCTGGGAAAGGAAATTTAATATATTTGTCATCAAAGATAAATTCTATGAAGTGAAATTTGGTGTAATCTTTTTATAACACTGCTGTGAGAGAGAGCAGAAACATACTTCTAGGCTGTGCTTTAACCAGTAGAATACTGAATTATACAACATTCATTCCATGAAAAATCTAAAATGACTTTTTAGTAAGAAAAGAAAAGATAGAAGGAAAGAAGAAAGGAGGGAATGAATGGAAAGGAACAGAGAAAACAATCAATCAAGTTTCCAGTAGATAACTGGACAAAAGAGGGAATAGATAATTTGTAGAAAAGAAATATAATGGCCAATAAATTAATCAAAGCACATTTAGTATCTCTAGTTATTAGATAGATTGGTACTTTTTTCTGATGGTGGAGTTAGTCATTGGCAAAACTTTTATGAAAAAAGTTTGTTAACATGTCTTATAAATTTAAAAGTATTCATAACCTTCACTCAGTAATTTTGTTTTCAGGAATCTATCTAAAAGAAAAATGATGTATATATAAACACTCGGTATAAAATTATTTCTTATTGTATATATTAAGACAGTAAAATTTCCCAAAGTAAGAGACTGGTGACCTAAATTATGGGTGAGAAAAATGGAATTATTCAGTCATTAATATTATGCTTATGTGTGATATGTGAAAATTCCTGCTACATAATACATACGGAAAAACAGAATTCAAACTGTGCATATATTTTGAGATCAATGATGACACGAACCATAATAGGAAAAAAAAGCCTAAACATCAAATTTTAATTATAGTTATATGATTATTTTCTCATTTTTAAAGTGTTTTTCACACTTTCTAAATTTTCTGTATCCAGTATTACTTTATCATAAGACAGACATTATTATTTAAACTTTTTTAAAAATTGTGAACATTGTAGAGAGAAAAAGATTATGAGTATTTCTTATTTGTCTTCGAAACTACTTAAGTTTAAAGCAAAAAACAACTTTGCAAAAACAACCAAGGGGAACTTTATTCAAGAGGGCTTCCTTTTACAGTTACTTATAAAATACAGATCTTCAAATTATTTTAGAAAATACACCCTCCCTGCTAATCTGTTTTTTTACTGTATAGTAATATAATATATTGACATCTAAATTAACACAGATTAATATAGCTTAATTCTGGTGCAACTCTATGGCAGCAACAATAATATCACCTTCAGAAGCAATAATTATTGCTATTACAACTATGTATTGAGCACCTATTCTGTACCAAATAATGTGCCAGACATACATTATTTCATTTTATTCTTAAAATAATTCTAAAAGATAGGAAATATTGGACTGGGCATGGTGGCTCATGCCTGTAATCCCAGCACTTTGGAAGGCTGAGGCAGGCTGATCACTTCAGTCCAGGAATATGAGACCAGCCTGGGAAATATGGAAAACCCTGTTTCTAAAAAATATACAAAAAAATTAGCCAGGCATGGTGACATGCACCTGTAGTCCCAGCTACTCATGGGGCTGAGGTAAGAGGATCACCTGGGCCCAGGAGGTTGAGGCTCCAGTGAGCTGTCATAGCATCACCACTGCATGCCAGCCTGGGTGACAGAGTGAAACCCTGTCAGAAAGAAAGGAAGAAAGAGAGAGAAAGAGAAAGAGAGAAAGAAAAGAAAAGAAAAGAAGAAAAGAGAGAGATTGAGAAAGAAAGAAAGAAAGAAAGAAAGAAAGAAAGAAAGAAAGAAAGAAAGAAAGAAGAAAGAAAGAAAGAAAGAGAGAAAGAAAGAAAGAAGAAAGAGAGAAGAAGAAAAGAAAGAAAAGGTTGGAAATATTGTCCCATTTTATTTAAATAAAACTGGAGTCTTACAGAGAAGTCAAGTAATTTGCCCAACATCAAACAGATGGTCATGGAGGCAGAATCTGAACTCAGGGTGCCTGACTCTTGGGAAATGCCTGCAGACTATCTTTTAACCACTCAGTCCATTCAGGCTGGTTTATGGGGACCCTCTGGCTTCTGTTATTGTCTAATTAGTGTTTTTCTAAGTATGGCCCATAGACCACAGGCATCATATCATCATGAAAAGAAAGAAAAGAGAGAGAAAGAAAGAAAAGAAAAGAAAGAAAAGGTTGGGAAATATTGTCCCCATTTTATTTAAAATAAAACTGGGTCTTACAGAAGTCAAGTAATTTGCCCAACATCAAACAGATGGTCATGGAGGCAGAATCTGAACTCAGGGTGCCTGACTCTTGGAAATGCACACGAAGACTATCTTTTAACCACTCAGTCCATTCAGGCTGGTTTTATGGGGACCCTCTGGCTTCTGTGTGTCTAATTAGTGTTTTTCTAAGTATGGCCCATAGACCACAGGCATCATAATCATCATGAAAAACACTGAAGACTCTTAGACCTCACACTGAAAACTCTTAGACCTCACCACTGCCCAGCTGAAGAAGAATCTATTGTGGGGTGCCCAGGAATCTGCATTTTAAACCATCATTACGAGTGGTTCACACACATTCTAAAGTTTAAAAAACAGCCAGACTGGTTGGATTCTTTCAAAAGAGAAACTTTGTCATTTTCATTTCTGTTTCTCTGAGACCTAGCATGGAGGTTTTTATAAATGCCAATAAAATGGATAGATGAAGGAGTAAATGAATACGTTATTTAATTTTTTTTTTTTCCCCCTGAGACTGAGTTTCACTCTTGTTGCCCAGACTGGAGTATAATGGCATGACCTTGACTCACTGCAACATCCGCCTCCTGGGTTCAAGGGATTCTCCTGCCCCAGTCTCCGGAATAGCTGGGGTTACAGGCGCGAGCCGCCACACCTAATTTTTTGTATTTTTGGTAGAGACGGGGTTTCACCATTTTGGTCAGGCTGGTCTCGCACTCCTTACTCCTGGTGTTCCACCCGCCTCAGCTTCCCAAAGCGCTGGGATTACAGGAGTGGGCCACCGCGCCTGGCCATGTTATTTAATCTTAATGACTACGCCAAATTGACTCACTATTTTATATTACATATTGCTTCACTGGTTTGATTTTATTCCACTTCATCATTCCTCACCGAGAGTAAGCTTTGAATGTTGATCAGGTCCTTACCTTGGGATTATATTTTATGGCAAAGTAGTAGCGAAATGTGTAAAATTTGATCTTCTCTCTCAAGGCTTTGACAGTTTACATGCTCTCATTTCTGCTGAGTGGTTGGCATTTTGAGGCCTCTGAATCACAATCACCGGTAAATAAACCTGGGGCCCTTGTGCTGGAGCAGATCCAGCTCTCTTCCAAAATGGCTAAACCTGTGGGTGTTCTAATGTTGCAGGGGAAGAGGGCTGTGAGCTAGCACAATGTGCTCCTTATAGAAAGAGCTGGGATCCAGCCCCAAGGGATGGCACAAGGATATACTAGCCATGACAGATTGCCTTTTGTAACCATGACATACAGCCCATCAGCTTCCTTTGTTTCACTCCCCTGTGTTATATGGATCTGGATATAGAAGGATGACACACCCCAGCAAGAGGAGTCTCTCTGTGTTCCATTTAGGAAGGAGTGTCAAGTCCAATCTAAACAGCCTGTCTTCCAGCACCTCTTATGAGGGGTGTTCTTACCTGCTTTGCCTATCCAAGCCTTATAGTAGTAACTATAATCGTTGGGTAAGGGTGCTTGATTCAGGAACCTCTCTTAATAATACTGAGTTTTTTAATTTATTTGACCTGTTTCTGTGACAGCTCCCTGATGAGTATTGCCTTCACATGTGTCCCACATCGACATTCTGCTGGTTCATATATCCTTATATTCTATATAATATCATATATCCTTATATCCTGGTTCACATATCCTTATATACATTAGCATACTAGACTAAGAAATATAAAGATATTAGACTAAGAAATACAAGGATATTAGACTAAGAAATATAAGGATATTAGACTAAGGATATGCTAATGCATATAAGGATTTTAGAGTAAGAAAAAAGCAGACATGATAAATTCCAGGGGATTCTCAGTTTGTAAAGATGGGACCCTTGGTTGCAAGTACTCAGATTAAATCACAATAGATTATATTTATTGTATATTTTATTATAAATGTAATCTATAATAGATTATATTGATTTATCACTCTAAATCCACTTTTCACATTGCTGTCTTACAAAACATGACTCCCATAAAATGCTATTTGTATAAAGAGGCCATGGGTAAATATATGTTAAACTATATATGTGTGTGTACATATTATATATCCCTTGGAGACTCATAGACTCTGTGTGTGTGTGTGTGTGTGTGTGTGTGTGTGCATAAAACTTGCTTGGATATCAGACTACACACACACATACAGGCACATGTATGCGGATAGACTTATATAAATGCTATAAACATCACTTATTTGGAGAGCCTTAGTTTATAATTAAGGTTTGCTATAGTCCTGCAATCAAGACTCTATTTAACTTTATTTAACCTACTTTTCTGCGGTCTTTTTTTAAACTTTTATTTTGGATTCAGGGATAGATGTGCAGGTTTGTTATATACATAAACTTGTGTCATGGAGGTTTTTGCACAGATTATTTCATCACCCAGGTACAAAGCCTAGTACCAAATAGTTATTTTTTCTGATCCTCTTCCTCCTCCCACCCTCCACCCTCAAGTAGGCCCCAAGGTCTGTTGTTCCTCTCTTTGTGTCCATGAGTTATTAAATGCTGATTTAATATTTCTTTCTTTATTTACTATACCAAAAAAATCTATATAATGAAGGAAAGGCTAAAATAAGTGCGCAAAAATTGGAAATTTCTCCTTCAAAAGTTTCTTCAGGCAGATGCTCTGCATGACTGTGTAGACAGCTGCTAGTTTTACTCAAATTTGGTTGGAATTTGGTTGGGAAAAGGTACATTACTTGCAAGACCCTCTTCCCATGCTCAAAAATCTCGCTTCTCCAATAGTTGCTTTTTGTCCACTCCCCGCCCCCAACCCCTCTAGCTACTGCAGTCAGTAGGAAATATGAGACTTTCAAGAGAATGTTGCCTTGACGC